AGTAAGCATGTAAGCAAGTATGCAAGTGAGCAAATAAGCAAGTAAGGAATAAAGCAATAAGTCAGGAGGCAGGTAAGAAAGCATGCAATATGCATGTAAGCAAGTGAGCATTTAAGCCAAGTATGCAACTTATCAAGTAGGTAATAAGCATGTGAGCATGTAGGCATGTAAGCGTCTAGGCAGATAAGCACGAATGTAGGAAAGCAATAAGCAAGTAAGCAGTTAAGAATGTATGCTATAAGCATGTAACCAAGTTAGCATGTAAGCGAGTAAGCAAGTGAGAATGTATGCAATTAGAATGTAAGCAAATTAGCAAGTAATCCGGATATATTTCAACTGTAGAAATGCAGCCCTTGTTTTGCCGATTCGCGCCTTTACATCTGCATCGGATCCACCTTAATTGTAGATAATGCTGTCCATATATGTAAAGGTGTTAACGTCCTCCAAGGCATCTCCATCAAGAGTGATTTGGTTGGTGCATGTTGTGTTGCATCGGAGAATTTTGCTTTTTCCTTTATGTATGTTGAGACCTGCTGCTACACTGTTCGTCTTCTCTAGCATTTGTTGTTACGAGTGCGACGGAACAGCCATATCATCTGAGAAGTCCAAATCGTACAGCTGCATCCTAGCTGTCCATTGGATACCGTGATTTTCCCCCAGATGTTGACGTCTTGATAATCCAGTCGATCCCCAGGAGAAGGAGAAAGGTTGAGAGTAAGCAACCTTGCCTGACACGGGTCTTCACCTCAAAAGAGTCTGTTAGCTGTGTTCCGTGCGCAATTTTGCAGTTGAATCCATCATAAGAATTCCGTTTGATGTTAACTATGTTCTCAGGCACACCGTAGTGTCGAAGAAGCCTCCACAGTGTTTTCCTATCCACACTATCGAATGCTTTCTTGTAGTCGATGAAGTTGATGTATAGTGGTGAGTTCCATTCAATCGATTGTTCTAAAATGATCCGTAATGTTGCAATTTGGTCGGTACACGATTAGTCCTTTCGAAATCTAGCCTGTTGATCTTGAAGTTGGGCGTCTACGAAGTACTTCATTCTGTTTAACAATACCCTGTTGAAGACTGCCTGGTATTAAAAGAAGAGTGATGCCTCTCTATTTCTCACACTTGCTGAGATCGCCTTTCTCCGGTATTTTGTTCAGGTATCCTTCTTTCCAATCGGATAGTACTTGTTCTTCATCCCAAATCTTGTTGGAGATGATGTGAAATATTTTTGCAATTGGTATCACGTCTGCTTCCATTGTCTCTGATGGGATGTTTTTTGGTGCAACTGATTTGCCGCTCTTCGTTTGACTGATGGCCTTACTGATCTATTCAATTTTTGGTGTGCCAACATCGATTGGGAGGTCCGTGTATGCTGCTTCGATATTGGGTGGGTTCAGTGGAGCTGGTCGATTCAGTTCCTTAAAGTGCTCGACCCACCTGTTTCGTTGTTCTTCAGTGTTGCTGATTACTTTGTCTTCCTTGTTCTTCACTGGTCCTTCTGGTTAACTATAGTTTCCAGCGAGCTTCTTTGTTGTATCGTACAATTGTCTCAGGTTTCCTGCTTGCCTGTTTACTTCTGTGTATTCAGCTTGTGCCTTTCTCTGCTCTTGTTCGGCTGACATTGATTGCTGCCTTCTTGTTCCTCCTTTCTTCAATTTTTGCAAGAGTATCAACAAACATCCATTCCTTGTGATGGTACTTCTTGTGACCCAGAACTTCTCGACATTTTGAAGTGATTGCCTCTTTGATCCCTTTCCGATTGTTCTCCATGGTTGTTTCCTCTCCATTGAGTAGATCATGTAAGGCCTGGAACCTATTGCTGAGGGTTATCTCTAATTCGTTGAGTTTTACGGTATCTCCAAGAAAGGCTGTATTAAACTTGTGTGATGTTGTCTGCCCCGTTATCCGGTGTTTCTTGAGTTCCAGTTTCATTTTGGTGACCAGCAAGTGGGGATCTGAGGCCATATCGGCTCCTCTCTTGGTTCTCACATCCTCCATGGTCCTTCCGAACTTTTTATTGATACCGATATGGTCGATTTGGTTCTGAGTAGTGTGATCTGGTAAAATCCATGTAGCTTTGTGCATGCGCTTGTGTGGGGATATTGTGCCACCGATGACCACTTTGTTGAAGGCACATAGGTTTGCACCGTTTTCGTTCCTTCCTCCCAGTCCATGTCATCCAATGATGTCTTCATATCCAGTGTTGTCCATGCCAACCTTAGCATTTAGGTCTCCTATCAGAATGGTCAAATCCTTTGGTGAGCATCTGTCGATGATTTACTGCAGCCTTTCGTAGAATTGATCTTTAATGTCGTCATTGTAGTCATTGGTAGGTGCATAGGATTGGATGACGTTCGTTCATCGTAATGTCCTCTTGTCCAATGCGTTTCACTGATGCCGATCACCTCCATATTGTATCTTTCCATTTCTGCAGCAACTTGAAATAGTTTTCCAGTATCCGACAATGTTCGAACGTTCCATGTTCCTAAAAGAATGGTTGCTGTGGTTGTCAGAAGCGACATCGGCCTCATGACTTCCGAGGGAACTCGGCTTTCATCACGAGACGTCATAACTCTTCTGAAAGAAGACAACTCCCAGGGTAGAGTTAAAATTTTTTTGAATCATTTGTTCTGGTTAGCGATTTTTGGGTAGTTTTTAGTTGGGATTGGGCTTCAACGCCATGCCCAATCCCTCCTCCCTTACCTGTTCTTGGGACTGGCAGTAGCCACGAAGGATCTACAGGCGGCGTTTCATGTCTAAAAGAAAACCTACTAATCAAGGGTTTCGTTCTCTCAAAGGCCCAAATGCGGAGGACCTCATCAACCTCAAGATAGCCTAGATCTTCAACAGTAACTTTACTGATCCGTTAAACCAGGCGCCCACATGTTCAGAGTACTACGCCAACTCATTGCCAGCTGACTGCTTAGGGAATATCCGTATCACTCCTGACTTAGTATTAAGGAAACTAAAATCCTTACGCCCAGGTAAGTCACCAGGTTGTGACAAATTTCGCCACATAGTCTTGCAACATTGTGCAGAAGTCCTCTGTTAACCGATATGTGACCTGTTCAGTCATTCACTGAAGTCACACCAATTCCCAGCTGAATGGAAACAAGCTACTCTCTCTCGAATCTTCAAAGAAGGAGATAGAAAGGACCCAAACTGTTACAGACCAGTCGCACTACTCGCAATACTATCAAAGGTTATGGAAGGGCTGGTAAACGAACAAATAAGGGAGTCCTTGGATAAGAATGAAGTACTCCATGAAGCTCAACACAGGTTTCGGAAAGCCAGGTCGTGTGCACCCAATCTTCTCGTAGCATTAAACATTTGGACTTCCTTTTTGGACCGTAAAATACCAGTGCACGTAATATTTCCCGACTTTGCAAAAGCCTTTGACACAGTACCCCACGCACACCTAATCGCAAAGGTTGTGGAAATGGGCTTCACTGACCCGCTCCTATCTTGGCTCAGAAACTACCATGAGAATAGAAAGTTTCTTACCAAGGTAAATAGAGTGCACACGAACTGGCGACTATCCATATCGGGAGTTTCACAGGGGATCATCCCAGGACCACTCCTCTTCCTGATATTTAATAACGACCTGTTAGGCTCAGTTAGCTCACCGGCATTGACCTAAGCAGACGGTGCAAAGATCTGGAGGTCCATTAGAAGCGAAGAGAATTCGGCTGAGCTTCAAAAGGACCTTACATCTATTGAGGAATGAGCAGTGAAAAACGGTTCAAGACTCCATCAATCGAAGTGTCACGTCATGCATATTCAGCCTCACACAACGCAACTGATCCACACCCTCAATGGAAGTCCGCTCCTTAATGTCTCCTGAAAGCGCGATCTCGGTTTAATAACCACAGAAAGCCTCCACACCAGTACAAACTATGTAGCGGACGCAGTCAAGGTAAATGTGACTCTTCACTCTATGTGAGGAAAACTTGGTGCTATCACCCTAGAATTATTATTAACACTATTTAAGAAGTATGCGCGCCCACACCTGGAGGTTCACAATATCATCGCACCCCCTCTGCTTAAAAGAGACATAAATCTCTTGGATCGAGTGCAGAGACGAGCAACCAAATGGGTGATAGGGTTGAAAAATAAGCCTCATGATCATAGACTCCAGCACTTGGGATTATTTCCACTGAGCTACAGGAGAATCAGACGTGATCTGATTATGCCGTACAACATACTAAGCACGCCAAACCATCCCAACGTGAGCATTTTACCGATGCATCACCACCACTCCCCTCGAGGCAATCCTCGAAAAACTGCGCATCAAAGAACGAATACTCATAATCGTGCACAGTTTTTTTCATTAGGAGTCGTCGCAACTTGGAATGCTCTCCCAGCCGAGGTGACCACAGCCCCCTCAGTAGACAGCTTTAAGAAGAGACTTGATAATCACGCACTCACATACGGATTATCATCTCCCTGTTGGACAAGCTGTTCATGATGCATATATTGAGACCTGCTAGTTGATATCATTGAATATCTTCAGATCACTTACTTAATCTATCTCGCCCATTATCTCTGTTTCCTCTCCCTTGCTTACACTTCGGTCCTATCTCACAATCTTCACTTCCAATTAATAAACTAAATCATCTATACATTACTTAGTTCTGAAATTTTATTCATATTAGCATTAGAACTTTATCCTTATTATCCTTATTACTCTTCGAATTGTAACTAACTGATCTGCGGTCTGGTAGTGTGATAGCTGCTGGTATCCAGAAACCCTACTGTCATGAAACAAACGTTTTCATTCAGATCCCGAGACACAAACTCACAACCAACTGCCAGCTGACTAGAATTAGACAATCGAGTGATCAAACCCCAATTCATTGGACACTACTGAATACATGAAACCATACCGAAAGAACAAGAATCGAGCGCAAATAAATCAATTGGTGTACACTAGCTCGTGAAAAAGATATTGGATATTGAATATGTTCTAGGCGCGAATCTCTACACCTGTGTGGCTGGCAGTTTTTCAAACTTACAAACTCTGCCCAGTAAGTTGAGTCTTCTTACTCGTGCTCTTAGGTGCACGTCTCACAACTGATCATTGTAAATTTGGCAGACCCCTTGTCTCACTATCAGTTTAGTTTGCAATTCCTAACATTTGCCACAAATTTGTCTACATAGACTTGGCATTTTGTTACTCAGTTTTTGTGTTATTCATTATTCAGTAAACCAGAGGAAATAAAGTGTAAACTACACACAAATATGAATAAAATAATAGGGGAATATGCTGTAAGCTCGTTTTTCTCCTTCCACAGTGAAATGGTGTGACCTTTCGTTTCTTCACTGTTCGTTCGAAAGATCACTGAATATATGACGGGTTGTTTACTTTTCGCATAAACTTGAAACGTATCTCTTATTCCGAGTCGAAAATGTACTCAAAATGGTATCTACTCACTTGAACATTCCTAACGTCGAAGCAACATTATTCACTCTTAGTACAGATGTCTTCTGTTTTCCTTTATTTCTATCAAAAACAAACTTTTCGACAGTGGATTGAGTTTTGAAAATTTATGCATGATCAAAGATATCTGCATAAATTTAAGTCATATTTCACAAGGAAACCCAATAGATACCTGTCACAAATCTTAGTTACAAATAAGAAGTTTGTTACTGACCATGATCTTGTAAAAAAAGTGTTCCTTACTAGAAATGTTTTCTAAATTTAAAATAAATATTAAATCATGCACATTCTCAGTGTAACAAATGTGACAGTAGATGCTTGAAAAAATGATAGTTTGTTGGAAAATTGTAGTTACATTGCAAAACAATTTCAAGTAATACTTGATTGCTACATCAGAGTAGTTATTCAGAATTGTAATGATCCTGTAGATTCTGAAACCTATCTGTGCGTAATGTAGCACCCAACTAAAGATCTATTATTTTTATCCATCTACCACCTAAAAGATCGGTTTACTGCGCATCAGTTCGCTCCGTCCTACTCTATGCCTATGAAACATGGCCATTAAGAGCAGAGAATATTCGTAGATTACTAGTATTCGATCATGAAAGTCTTTAAAGCATTGCTTGTGTATCTTTTGACCACCGAGTAAGCAATGCTGTTGTTAGGAAAGGGGTTCTAGGTAAGGATGGAAGATCAATTGATGAAGTATTGAAATTTCATCAGTTGAATGTGGTTAGGACATATGTTACGAATGCCCAACTGCCGACTGCCTCGACGAGCAATTTTTTGTGGTGTAGGTTTAGTCTGGAAAAAAGTTAGGGGCGGCCGAACCAAAACAGGGCACAAATCTTCGTCATTTGTCAGATGAACTTTTCAATCAAAATTTTTTTACCTTTTCGACAATTCGATTCTCAATAACTGTAGTAAGATCGAATTCATGAGTTTGTTAAAATTCAAAATTTTGTGTTGAAGACTGGAGGCCAATTGCTTATGTTAGGTTTTTCGCTAGTAAGCTTTTGTAAGTATCTAGTCTTTTCTAAAATAATTCAGCAGAAGATGAAGAACCATTTCTTCCAGTAGTAAGTTCCAAAAGTTAACTGTTAGGTGGCAAAACCTTTGTTGCAATAGGGATTTTGTTCGTTATTTATTTTCAAACTCGCTTGCTATGTCCTCTGAGTTGCTCTCACCTAATCATTTCTCAGTTCTTTAAACATCAAAATTAGATCATCTCTTAATTTACTTTAATGCAGCAAAGATATCCAACTTCTCGAACTTTGCCATGTTTGTGCTTGATTACACCAAAAGTCGTCCTCTGTACTTTTTTCCAAGTTACACGAATCACCTTTTGAACAGCGGCTTGTAAACTAAACAATGGTTTTTAGGTTTGAATTTCACTAAGGCTGCTCTGATTACGAATAGCCAACCTCGACTGCCTCGGCGAGCACTGATGCTTAGTGTAGGGGTAAGCTGGAAGAAAGCTAGGGCGGCACAAATCCATCAAGTCACTGACAACTGGACTGAGCCATAATGTTAGATGTAGAATACTTGATTGGGGTCTGCGAGATGATAATAACTGATGGTTAGAGGCTGAATGACATGGCTGAAAATCGTTTGTATTGGAGCAGGTGTATCCACTCTTTTTGTTCTCTCAAATTCTAGTCTTTTGAACTCTTCATGACCGTTTTTCCTCTCTTTTTTATATATTTTAAATTTGTTTCATTGGATTGTACTTTCTGAATGATATCTTCGACCACTATTCCTTTTGATTACCGCTTATACTTCTACTCTTCCTATTACTATGGGATTTGAATTGGCAAATCGATCTCTGTGTGTGGTATGGCAACTTGAAATCATGTACGTACGTACATGATGCATAAAATGGGCTGAAATCATGCAGTTACGGTTTGTAATGATGGGCGAAACGGATTATTGATGGGTGCAAAAAATGAAACTAAGTGTTGTAACGGTTGCTTAAGATATTTCCCGGCTAAATCTTATTGCTTAGTATTCTTGATACAAAACACTGGACAAGTAACCCAAATCAAAACACGGTTGAACAGGAAGGATTGTATTCCAAAATAGCAAGGAAAAAGAAGCTGGAGGTGATGGCGAAAGCCAAGGCAAAGAAGGCTTGAAGGCAAAGATAAATACAATGCTAGTCTAGTGCTCCTCGATGCATTGTAGAAATACGACGTCTGAGCAACTTATTTTGTTGCAACCGCTGCTGCAACTGCTTCTGTTTAACTCTATACTTTATGTTTGAGCAGAAAGGAACAGGGCACTTAGAATCGACACAGTTTCGAGCGTGGTTCCATAGCAGTGACAACAGCTGTTCACAAAGCGGACAACTATTGGTTGCTTTTTTGGTACAGTTTCGAGTATGGCATAAAACTCGTTTCATCTGAGCACAAGTCTGCATGCGACAATTTACGTCCCGGCACTGGCAAGCATGAAGTAAGGACCTTAAACATCCGTCTATGCTGTTTCGACGATCAGGTGTGGCACCAGCGCCACTGGGTCTATCACCTGCTTCTTCATTTGAGCCTGAATCTTCATCTATGCCAAGACCATACTGAACCATAGGATGTGGATGATTTTCTGTCTTATAACAACGAGAGCACAAGTCATATTCTTCACACTCATTACAATGCCATCGAGTTTCGATCTGAGCACCGCAAACATTACAGTTAAAAATAAAGCTTTGACGTAACTCCATATGTAGTTCATACGACAGGACCATAGAAGAATACTCAGCACGACGCAAAGATGAAAATTCTAAATCCTATCCCCGTCGCCACTGTAAGAAGGCCAAGATAAATACAATGCTAGTCTATTTATAGCCTTTACATGAGAAAACTTCTGGAAGAAAATTCACGTGATCGACTGGACTGGATTTGACCAATCAGCATACAGCTAATAATACGAGAATTTTCTATCCTATTCTCCAAGCTTCGATCAGGCGCTGATTGAATAGGAAATTAGCCAATCAGCGCGCAGTAACGTAGTCGTGCTTTAATTCCATCTATGTCAGTCAGTCAGTCAGTTGCAACGTAGAACTTCGTACGTATGTACATAAGTTCATGTTGCCATACCACATTATTAGCACAGAGACGCAAATGTCAAATCAAATCCCATGGTGATAAAGATGGTAGAGGTATTAATGTTATAATAAAGAAGACTAGGGTTTAAGATATTATTCAAAAAATATAATTCAGTGAGATAAGGTTAGAAAGACAAAGGTAGAGGTGCTGGCTAATCCAGAAGATTATGATTTGAGAGAGCTCAAAGAGTGGATGCACCTGCGCCATTGCAAACGATTTTGAGCCATGTCGTTCAAGGTCTCTAACCATTGATGACTTTCGTCTCGCGGACCCCAACCAGGTAGTCTACATCTACCAACATGACTCAGTCCACTTGTCAATGACTTCATGGATTTCTGCCATGTTTTGGTCTGGCCGCCCCTAGCTTTCTTCCAACCTACTCCTACACCACAAAACATAGCTCGTCGAGGCAGTCGGTGGTTAGGCATACGTAACACATGTCCCAACCACCTCAACTGATGAAGTTTCACCACTTCATCGATTGATCTGCCATCCTTACCTAGTACTCGTTTCCTAACGACAGCATTGCTTACTCGGCTGTCCCACGATATACGAGCAATGCTTCTTAAACATCTATGATCGAATACTAGTAACCTACGAACATCTTCTACTCTTAACGGCCATGTTTCACAGCCATATAAGAGAACGGAACGAACTGCTGCGCAGTACACCCGCCCTTTGGTTAGCGAACGGATATCACGCCTACGCCATAAGTGACGCAGGTTGGCAAAAGCCAATCGAGCTTTCTGTATCCGAGCTGAGATTTCGTCAGTCACCAGACCGTCAGCACTGATGAGACTCCCCAGATAAGTGAAGTGATCTACACGCTCGACTACTTCACTCCCTATCACTAGTTCAGGTGCCGAAGCAACCCAGTCTTGAAGCAACATTTTGCATTTCGAGGGGGAAAACCGCATCCCGAACATGCTCGCATTGTTGCTTATGGTAGTCAGAAGACTCTGCATTTTGTCAGCGTCTTCACCGAATAGAACTATGTCATCGGCATATTCTAGATCAGTAAGCGACTTTCCTGGTAGAAGGTCAACCCCTGAAAAATCTGACGAGCTTAATGTTAACTCTAAGAGGATGTCTACGACAAAGTTGAACAAGAATGGAGAGAGTGGGCAGCCCTGACGGACACCACTTGATGTAGAGAATTCAGATGACAGTTCGCCATATGCTCTCACCCGACCAGTGGTGTTCGAGTAGAGTGCTTGTATAAGGTTAATGTACTTCTTTGGTACACCTTTCAATGACAGACACTGCCACAGAACCTCACGATCCACTGAGTCGAATGCCGCCTTAAGGTCCAGGAACACGACTATTGTCGGACGTCTAAATGTGTGTCTGTGTTCCAGGACCTGTCGTAGTGTGAAGATGTGGTCTATACAACCACGTCCAGGTCGAAAACCAGCCTGGTTTTCTCGAGTCTGCTCTTCGCGAGCTCTAGTTAGACGTCTAAGTATAATCGAGGCTAACAATTTAGAAATTATATTAGTTAAACTTATTCCCCTGTGATTGTCACAAGAGGACTTCTGTCCTTTCTTGTAGATTGGGACAATTAGCGACTGAGACCAGTCAGATGGGATTACGTCCATTTCCCAGATTCTACCTAGGATCTCGGTCAGTTTAACCGTTAAAACTGGACCACCATCCTTAAACATCTCAGGGGTAAGCCTATCGGGACCTGCCGCTCTACCTCTCCTTAGATTTCCTATAGCTTTCTCAACTTCATGTAAACTGGGAGGACTTAAATCGATTTGCCATTCAGGATGACTGGAGATCGTGGGCAACCGAAGAGTGGCTGAAGGCCAGTTGAACTGATCCCTAAAGTGTTCTGCCCATCGGTCCAGCCTCCTAGATTGAGAATGGATAATAAGACCATCCTTTTCCGAGATAGTCTCACTTACATTCGGGTTCCTAATACCGGTTTCTTTGATAAGGCGGAAAAGTTGTCTAGTGTTGCTTATCGCCGCTGCCTTTTCCATCGCTTTTGCTTTCGCCACCCACCACTGTTCACGGTCGTTACGTAGGCTTTTTATAAGTCTGCGCCTAAGTTGAGTACGCTCTTCATCATGTTCAGAGTCAGGTGGGATGCGTTTTCGTGCATCCATCAGTTCGGTGGATGCGACTGAAATCCACGGCTTCATCCTAGCCTTATGGTTTACCTTGCTAGCAGATATCACTGCTGTTTCCACAGCCTTCTTTATGTCATTCCAACCTGACTCCGGATGGGAATCACTTGCATGATCGCCCAACTGTTTTTCTAGTTCCTCCTGAAATATTTTCTTAGCTTGATTATCATCAAGTAAAGCCCTAAGAGGCTTCCTTACGGTGTCTTTCCTACGTCCAGCAAGCCTCAAACAAATACGTGCTCGCACTAGGGCATGATCTGAATCTAAACATGTGCCCCAGAACGAGCGACAGTCCTCTATCGAACCCCTCCATCGGTGGCTGATGGCGATATGATCTAGTTGTGTCCAACGTTGAGACGACTTCGGGGGTCGCCAGGTCAAAAGGTGTTTTTCCTTATGCTTAAAATTAGTGTTTGCTAGAAATAGTTGGTTATCTGAGCACAGTTGCAACAGACGGTCGCCATTGTCTGTTCTTTGAGCCGCGAGACCGTAACATCCACCTAGGTGTCTTTCATTTTCACTTAGTCTACCTACTTGTGCATTGAAGTCACCAGCCATTATAACTATATCAGAGCGCTTAACTTTTTGGAGGAGGTCCGAAAGCTTTCTGTAAAACTCATCTTTTACATCATCTGGGCTGCAGTCAGTGGGGGCGTAGGCTGATATGACGAAGAGGCAACGGCGAGTGTCCCTATCCTTACGAGTCCTTACTGTCCCGTTCAGTCGGACGGCGCACAAGCGACTATCTACAGGGATCCAGTCAAGGAGAGATTGTTCTGCCCTACGACTCAATGCTATACCTACACCGGCGAGGCCCCTAGAAGCAGCATCAGGGCTACCGGATACACGAAGGGTAAATCGAGCTGCTTCTTTATCTTGACATGGTGAGGTCAAATGAATGATGCTACTCGGATCCTGTATGCGCGTTTCCGAGACGCAGCACACATCGATGGAACGAGATTTTAAAGTCCTAGCTAATGACGCCTGTTGCCCTATTTGACACAATGTCCGTACATTGAATGCTCCAACATGTAGTTTGGAACGGGGTTTAAGGAGACCAGGAACGACGTTTCGCAAACTCGCATCGTTTGCATTAGCTGTGAACTGTAATAAATGAATGTGAGAAGAGTTAGTTGTGGAGATAAGAGAGGTATTAGGGAATGTAGGAAGGATTTGATTTTGAACAATTTTGTCTCGTGTGCTGTTGCGGGTATGAGGGCGGTTATCACTTCCCGGCTGCCCACACCGTGGAAGGTTGTTTCTTGACGAACCTGAAAAGGAAGATGGATTAGTGTTGGTGCGTGATCGCAGAGTCCAAGGGACAACTGCTTCAGGCCGGTCACGCACGGCCTTTTTATGAGAGGTATTTAGAGGATTAGCTCCGTTCTTAAAGGCCCTTAGTGGGCACCCTTACCCAAGGAGACGGAAATCCGTGAGGTAGGGGAGGTGTGACATTTTTAGGGCCGACCTTTTCTAACCCTTCCTGCCTTGTGAGAAGGCAGCATCGCTGCAGATGCTGGTTGTCCGAGGGAAACACCTTACTGCTGTCACACCCCTCTGCAGTCAGCAGTACGACTTCGCCCTCAGACCTTGGGTAGCTGCTTTTAGTCTCATCGTTCTCCAATCGACCTGCCTGGCATGGTAGGACCTGCAGGAACATGTGTTCCAGCCAGTATAGCTCGGTTGGGTCATCACGATAGGCAAGCCCGACCACCACGTCAAGGTAGCAGCTTCGGTCGGGAATTCCATCTATGTCCCACTAACACTAAGGGTCAAATACATAACTATCGTATGGGAGATTTTTGTGTGACTTTATACAGGTAAATGGAAATAATCAAGATTGACTTATTTAAATTATTCTATGTCAACTCATAAACACTGATGTAAAGACGCATCTAAATATTTATGCGCCACATAAATTATTGAATAAGTGATATGTGATACTTCCCGGACGCCCAAGCCAAAGTAACTGGTTTTCCTAGGAAACCACACCTCGAGCCTTTGACCCAAAAGTCTATTACACAAGGCACTGAAGCAACGTTAAGAGATTCAGTCTCACGGTAGCCAGTGATAGTAGGTTCATATGCCAGTAGTTCTGACAGAATCCTGGAGCCTATGTGCACCACTGGTTTAGAAACCAGGTTTTTCCAACTCCCGTGAGTAAATCTTCCATACCCATCAACCCATTTTAAGCGCTAGACGCTTACTTTTCGCCGTTTTAACTTTGTTAGCGGCACTTTTGGTGCAAGAAGGCAGTGAGTAATTCTTCCCTCACAGTGGCTTTATACTCATGACCGTCTAAGAGCATTTCGAGAGGAAAAATGGACTTATCACTCTCGGCTGTACCAGGGTATTAAGAATAAGAATCGACTGAAGGTGACTTCATGATAACAGTAACATCAAAGTGTTTGTTAGTGAAATATATTCGAATGTGAAGAAAGTAAACATCAAATTACGTATAACTTCAGGAAAATAGAGACACAGAAAACAACCTGTTCGTCAAATTTATTTTCTCACATCAATATAATTATACAGCTTTTGGAAATAAAACTATCTAAAAGGAAATTTTTATTTTGTAATTTAGTTGTCAGTCATTTGTAGAACCGCGACACTGGAAAAGTATGTCGTGTTGCTTAGACATCTACTTGGCCATTAAAAGTTGTGTTCACCGTTCAGTGCGTTGCCATTTTTTTTTCAAATTAGTTTAAATGATGATGATGATGATTACGCCTGTTACCCCCAGTGGAGTATAGGCCGCCGACCAGTTTTCTCTAACCAACTCTGTCTTGGGCTTTCCTTTCCAGTTCTTTCCAATTTTTGTTCCTTTTTCTCATGTCTTTATTTCTCGACATAATGTGTTCTTTGGCCTTCCTCTTTTCCTTTACCTTGAGGGTTCCAAGGGAGGGCTTGTCTTGTGACGCAGTTGGGCGCTTTTTGTCGTGTGTATCCCATCCTTTTCCACCGCTTCTTCCTGATTTCCTCCTCCACTGGAATCTGGTTAGTCCTCTCTCACAGTAGGTTGTTGCTGATGGTGTCCGGCCAACGAATCCTCAGTGTTTTGCGTAGACAAGTGTTAAGGAATACTTGTATCTTCTGGATGATGGTTTTGGTAGTTCTCCAAGTTTCCGCTCCATACAGTATTACTGTCTTGACATTTGTATTGAAAATCTCGATTTTGGTTTTCGTTGAAATTTGTTTGGAGTTCCGGATATTTTTCAACTGTAGAAATGCAGCCCTTGTTTTGCCGATTCGCGCCTTTACATCTGCATCGGATCCACCTTAATTGTAGATAATGCTGTCCATATATGTAAAGGTGTTAACGTCCTCCAAGGCATCTCCATCAAGAGTGATTTGGTTGGTGCATGTTGTGTTGCATCGGAGAATTTTGCTTTTTCCTTTATGTATGTTGAGACCTGCTGCTACACTGTTCGTCTTCTCTAGCATTTGTTGCTACGAGTGCGACGGAACAGCCATATCATCTGAGAAGTCCAAATCGTCCAGCTGCGTCCTAACTGTCCAGTTGATACCGTGATTTTCCCCCAGATGTTGACGTCTTGATAATCCAGTCGATCCCCAGGAGAAGGAGAAAGGTTGAGAGTAAGCAACCTTGCCTGACACCGGTCTTCACCTCGAACGAGTCTGTCAGCTGTGTTCCGTGCGCAATTTTGCAGTTGAATCCATCACAAGAATTACGTTTGATGTTAACTATCTTCTCAGGCACACCGTAGTGTCGAAGAAGCCTCCACAGTGTTTTCCTATCCACACTATCGAATGCTTTCTCGTAGTCGATGAAGTTGATGTATAGTGGTGAGTTCCATTCAATCGATTGTTCTAAAATGATCCGTAATGTTGCAATTTGGTCGGTACACGATTAGTCCTTTCGAAATCTAGCCTGTTGATCTTGAAGTTGGGCGTCTACGAAGTACTTCATTCTGTTTAACAATACCCTGTTGAAGACTGCCTGGTATTAAAAGAAGAGTGATGCCTCTCTATTTCTCACACTTGCTGAGATCGCCTTTCTCCGGTATTTTGTTCAGGTATCCTTCTTTCCAATCGGATAGTACTTGTTCTTCATCCCAAATCTTGTTGGAGATGATGTGAAATATTTTTGCAATTGGTATCACGTCTGCTTCCATTGTCTCTGATGGGATGTTTTTTGGTGCAACTGATTTGCCGCTCTTCGTTTGACTGATGGCCTTACTGATCTATTCAATTTTTGGTGTGCCAACATCGATTGGGAGGTCCGTGTATGCTGCTTCGATATTGGGTGGGTTCAGTGGAGCTGGTCGATTCAGTTCCTTAAAGTGCTCGACCCACCTGTTTCGTTGTTCTTCAGTGTTGCTGATTACTTTGTCTTCCTTGTTCTTCACTGGTCCTTCTGGTTAACTATAGTTTCCAGCGAGCTTCTTTGTTGTATCGTACAATTGTCTCAGGTTTCCTGCTTGCCTGTTTACTTCTGTGTATTCAGCTTGTGCCTTTCTCTGCTCTTGTTCGGCTGACATTGATTGCTGCCTTCTTGTTCCTCCTTTCTTCAATTTTTGCAAGAGTATCAACAAACATCCATTCCTTGTGATGGTACTTCTTGTGACCCAGAACTTCTCGACATTTTGAAGTGATTGCCTCTTTGATCCCTTTCCGATTGTTCTCCATGGTTGTTTCCTCTCCATTGAGTAGATCATGTAAGGCCTGGAACCTATTGCTGAGGGTTATCTCTAATTCGTTGAGTTTTACGGTATCTCCAAGAAAGGCTGTATTAAACTTGTGTGATGTTGTCTGCCCCGTTATCCGGTGTTTCTTGAGTTCCAGTTTCATTTTGGTGACCAGCAAGTGGGGATCTGAGGCCATATCGGCTCCTCTCTTGGTTCTCACATCCTCCATGGTCCTTCCGAACTTTTTATTGATACCGATATGGTCGATTTGGTTCTGAGTAGTGTGATCTGGTAAAATCCATGTAGCTTTGTGCATGCGCTTGTGTGGGGATATTGTGCCACCGATGACCACTTTGTTGAAGGCACATAGGTTTGCACCGTTTTCGTTCCTTCCTCCCAGTCCATGTCATCCAATGATGTCTTCATATCCAGTGTTGTCCATGCCAACCTTAGCATTTAGGTCTCCTATCAGAATGGTCAAATCCTTTGGTGAGCATCTGTCGACGATTTACTGCAACCTTTCGTAGAATTGATCTTTAATGTCGTCATTGTAGTCATTGGTAGGTGCATAGGATTGGATGACGTTCGTTCATCGTAATGTCCTCTTGTCCAATGCGTTTCACTGATGCCGATCACCTCCATATTGTATCTTTCCATTTCTGCAGCAACTTGAAATAGTTTTCCAGTATCCGACAATGTTCGAACGTTCCATGTTCCTAAAAGAATGGTTGCTGTGGTTGTCAGAAGCGACATCGGCCTCATGACTTCCGAGGGAACTCGGCTTTCATCACGAGACGTCATAACTCTTCTGAAAGAAGACAACTCCCAGGGCAGAGGTAAAATGGTTTGATCACAGTTTTCTACTTTGAAGTATTTCTTGCCTGTTTCGGAGCGATAAAATGATCAATGATGTGTTGCTAAAAATTTGGTAAGGCTGTGAATCTTGATTAATTGGAATAATTGACACTTGTTTTAAGTTATGCCCTCTATGTGTAGTGCTATCTGACGTAGGAATAAGTTGTAAGTACACTAGAAGTGGGTAAACTAAAACATGTATTCATCTCATGAAGTTACTGACTACTGGTCTGAGTTATGTTTGTAAATGAAGACTGCTTGGTTGGATGTGGTTCATATAATAACACCGGTCATTTGGAGACGTATTGTATAGCTCCTAATATTGAATAAAGCCATTGTTATTATTAGAATGATCAGCATACAGATATACCTACTCTATATCTCACTCTTGATTTTTAGTTCCAGTATTCCTTCATAAAAGTCTTTTTACTCTATCTTCTCTGACCATATTTTCAGCGGTAAGCTTTTCTCACTAACAATGTTACTAAAATTACTCTTTTTTCTTTGGTATTCATCTGTTTGATTTCCTGTCTCGTTTCGAGTTTAAAAACGGAAGTTTTTGCAAACATTGACGTTGATTATGACTAGCTGATTGATCCGTCCACATAATATCACGTGACGTACCAGAAACTTGTCAACTATTTGACTAAGCTTAATCACACTCGTGACTCTTGACAATGAGGGAGGGCTATTGAAAAACTGTCAAAAATCTAAATCTGTGACTGAATAACTTGAGGTTGAGTACCTAAATAATTAAGCAACCGATCTACTCTATATTTCAAAGAGTAGCTTCCTCCATTGTTTAGCAGTTTTACTCTAAATCTTCCGAACTTTATCGAATCTCACTTAACATATCATTATAAGGTAATATATCTTGATTACTTGTCGTTTCGGCCGTCAAACTTAGGTTAAAAAGGATTTATATATTAGTTGCTAATAAGTATATATTTCTGATTAAATACATTCAACTATGATTGCAATAATGCCTATGATTACACCATTGGAATGAGCATGGACCATCTATCTGATTATAATCAGATTTAATGTTAGGATATATATATATATATATATATATATATATATATATATATATATATATATATATATATATATATATGTATATATATATATATATATTTCCCTAAAAATAAGTGACTGTATATTTCATTTTGGAAATTTTAGGTTTTATTTTAGAAAATTCATTAGTCAGAAAAAAATGGCTACTGTGATTAACATTACAGATAATGAACATCTTGATCAAATTTTACGAGAAGCAAATAATGTGCCAATTCCAAGTATTGTAGTAATGGATTTTTATGCTACATGGTGCGGTCCTTGTTCAGATATAGCTCCTGTTTTTAAAGAATTAAGTACTAAATATCCAAATATGAAATTTGTTAAAATCGATGTCGATAAACTTGGGGTAAGAAGCATTGAATGAATGATATCCTTTTTTAAAATGTTAAATAATCAGTCTGTCTTATGTGCTACAACTTAGAACCAGACAAATAGCCAGCATTGTATCAAGTTAGCACAGGAAAGCGACATAACAAGGTTTTTGAAACAAATTCCAGAATAACAGTAGTAGTAGTAGTAACGGTAGAAAGTATTAGGCACCGGAGCTAAATCGAGCGGAACCTACTAGGTCAAGCAGCGTTTCGTGCTAACTACCTACAATTATCATCTCATATCCCAACCACCATCCTCAGTCGGGGCGAAATAATACTCTGACTAAACCAATATGAATGCTCTACTGTATCACAGTCCGATCACATGGGCCCCAGAAAGTAACTACTAAGAGTGTGGGGTTATCCAAACACTATGAGAAGACGAAGGTTATCAGAATTCTTATCTGTTTAAGCGAATCATTACACATATAACTCTTTCAGACTTTATATATGAAAAATATAAAAGGTCAGCTAGACTAATAATAATAATAACAAAGGCAGTTTGGAAACCACTATCGATAATACACCAATATCACCAGGGTAGGTTAAGTTTAAGAAGAAACTGTTATTGAACACATTAAGAGTGTTTCCATTTTCGGATAGCCAAGAGACAGTAAGAACTCGGAAATATAGGGACAGTCAAGCCAGTCAGTTACAACGTAGAACTTCGTACGTACGTACGTCAGTTCAGGTTGCCATACAGCATTAGCACAGAAAGTCCACGGTCAGTTCGAATCCCACAGTTGTGGAACTAGTAGAAGAATTACTGATAATGCAGAAGATTAGGATTCCAACATATTATTCAAGAAGCATAACTCAGTGAGATAACTTTAGAAAGAGAAAGAGATGATGAAGAATTCTGAAGACAAGAATTTGAGAGAACCCAAAGAGTGGGTGCACCTGCGCCATTGCAAACTATCTTGAGCTATGTCGTTCAAGGTCTCTAACCATCGGTTACTGTTATCTCGCAAATCCCAACCAGTTAGTCTACATCTACCAACATGACTCAGTCCACTTGTCAATGACTTCATGGATTTGTGCCATGTTTTGGTTTGTCCGCCCCTAGCTTTCTTCCAACCTACTCCTATACCACAAAACATAGCTCGTCGAGGCAGTCGGTGGTTAGGCATACGTAAAACATGTCCCAACCACCTCAACTGATGAAGTTTCACTACTTAGACTGATTCCCTTGTGACAGTCATAGGAATTGAAAAATTTAGGATTTGAGAGAACACAAAGAATGAATGCACCTGCGCCTTAGCAAACGGTTTTGTACTTCTTTGGTACACCTTTTAATGACAGGCCATTCATAGAACCTCACGATCAACAGAGTCGAATTCCGCTTTAAGGTCGATAAATACTACTATTGTGAGGCGTCGGAACGAGTGTCTGTGTTTTAGGACCTGACGTAGTGTGAATATCTGATCTGTACAGCCACGTCCAGGTCTAAAACCAGCCTAATTTTTTCTAGTCTGCTCTTCACGAGCTCTAATTAGGCGTCTAAGGATAATCAAGGCTAATAATTTAGAAACCTTATTAATTAGACTCATTCCCCTGTGGCAATCATAGAGGAATCAGTCTAAGTAGTGAAACTTCATCAGTTGAGGTGGTTGGGACATGTTTTACGTATGCCTAACCACCGACTGCCTCGACGAGCTATGTTTTGTGGTATAGGAGTAGGTTGGACGAAAGCTAGGGTCGGCCGAACCAAAACATGACAGAAATCCTTGAAGTCACTGACAAGTGGATTGAGTCATGTTAGTAGATGCAGACTACCTGGTTGGAGTTCGCGAGACGATACCGATGGTTAGAGACCTTGAACAACATGGCTCAAAATCGTTTGCGATGGCGCTTTCCCAAATTCTAATCTAAACTCCTCATGAACTTCATATTTCTCCTATCAAAACTATTTCACTGGATTATACTTCTTGAAAAATATCTTCGCACCGTGATCTTTCCGATTACCGCTCTTACTTTTACTACCTTTACCATTATGGCATTTGAATCGAAAAATGCATCTCTGTGCCAATGTGGTATGGCAACTTGAACTGATGTAAGTACGTATGAAATTCCTCGTTGTAAATGACTGACTGACTGACAAACTGATACAGTTTAGTTAAATTGATTAATTTATCATGGCAAATGATTCATATGAGGAGATTTTATGAATCGAATAAGTTTTGAAAATAGTTGGTTGTAATTTAGTTGAACACAAATTCTTTATGTAAAACTGATTTTGGAAGTATGTGATTTGATAAATGCGACCTATTAAAATTTAGTTCCCAATCGTTTCAATATAATTTTTACGTGTACGTGTTAACAAGAATTCTGTTTATTTTCTTTTTCCAAGTGTCATATCGAACCCTCATAATTAGATAACTTCACAGATCAGGATTTTTTTTGTAGGACTTGAATTAGTTCCTTTTAAAAATGTAGTTACTAATGAGCATATTATTATTATTATTGTTATTATTCTTATCTGTTTCTTTTTCCTGCTTCTTTTTTTTTTTCAACACTTGAGGACCTTGCACAACGTTACAATATCAGATCACTGCCAACTTTTATATTTCTACGTGGAACTGAACAAATTGATCGGATTACTGGTGGAGCTGCACAAAAGTTAAGAGATAAAATTCATGAACTTTCTATCTTCGGATCAAACTCTAATGATGAGAGTGGTTCACATAAAAGCCCTCAATCTTCGAAACAAGTATACACTTATTTTTTTTTTCATTCTCTAGAAATATATTCTTATTTTATTTTATTTTATTTTTTTTTGATGCTATCTCTTATCATTGACAAGTTTACCAATGTGAAAAAAAATTTTTTTGCAGTGTATCGAATTTTAATCGTTTGGGTAATTCGTTTCTAAAATTTGCTTCTTCTACAGTTTCGTTTAAATGTAAGTTGTGAATGGTAATATTTGCCTTCACTTACAGAAATTATAACTTAGTGTTATAATGAACTATGTGGCTATTCGAAATCCTACTGATTGATCAAATTCCGATATTTCAGTACGACCCCAATTACTGTTCCCAAATCTCCAATATATATCAGGAACACAACACCGTTAGATGAAGTTGTTTATGTATGTGGTCGAGTACAGAAGGCATGATAAGCATTTGCAGGTAATGCATATTTATCCCGTTTAGGTCGAATAGGAAACAACATTGAAGTATGTGACATTGATAGTTAGGATGACCATAATATTGACCAATAGAATTAGACTTACGAAAATTATTCTCTTAGGATATTTTATGAATATCCTCACAGTGTGAAATTCACCAATCACCTGTAATTGATTTCTGAATATAGCTGAATTGGAAAAATTTACTGATCCAGACTATAATTTATATGTATATATATATATGTCCTTAGTAGTATATCGAAATACAAACTGATTTGGTTTATGAAGGTAGAGTGCGTGGTTCGTTTCTTTCGTAATTGTCAATTATTAATTATATTTGTGTGTGAACTGCGATCATGACTAACTGCCTTGTGGTTTCCTAGGGAGTCCCACTTCCCAAACTTTCGACGTAGAGATTTAATCCATAGGGCAGTGAAGATGCTGTCTCATGATAACCTGCTACTAAAATAGGTCTATACGCCATTTGTTCCTACAAGACCCTGGAGCTCATGTACATCATTGGTTTGGAGTCATGGTTTTTTCAACGATCCTAGGTGTAAACCCTCCGTATCTACCAACTCAATGGATTCACCTCATTTTCGGCTTTATCAAGTGTGCTTACCTGTCGATAATCAGTCAGTCAGTTACAATGTAGAACTTCGCACATGAGTACATAAGTTGAGGTTGCCATACCGCATTAGCACAGAGACGAAACTGTCAGTTCAAACCCTACAGTGGCAGAGGTAGTAGATGTATTAGCAGTAATAGAGAAGATTGGGGTTCGAAGATAAAATTCGAGAAGTATAATTCAGTGAGATAACTTTAGAAAGAGAAGGACAAAGATGATGAGGAATTCAAAAGGTTAGGATTTGAGAGAACACAAAGAGTAAATGCACTTGAGCCATTGCAAACAACTCTGAGCCATGTCATTCAAGGTCTCTAACCATTGGTGCCTTTCGTCTCGCTGACCCCGACCAGGTAGCCTACATCTACCAACATGACTCAGTCCACTTGTCAATGACTTCATGGATTTATGTCATGTTTTGGTGTGGCGTAAGTAAGTAAGTAAGTAACTTGGTGTGGCTGCCCCTAACTTTCTTGCAATCTACTCCTACACGACAACATCGCTCATCGAGGTAGTCGGCAGTTGGGCATTCGTAACACATGTAGATAATCATAAACTATATTGACTAATTAGAAGAAGCTCATACATTTAAGGGATGACTGAAGTGAGTAGAAACGCCTTGTAAGAACTTAACCTAATTATTAGTTCCCCCGAACCATGAAGAAATATCCGTAGATACTAGCGAGAAATCAAAATATCATAGTATTTTTCAGGACCTACTTAGTTTCAAGATAGAAATCATAACATCGTTAAAAATCATACAGCAATAAAAATCTGTTGTACTGATGATTATCAGAAAAACTCATCGAAGTTGATACAGCTGTGAAATTTCTGATATTGTACACTTTATACGGTTTATAAAGGTCAAGGTATTTATTGAGAATTTACAATAGTTTTTCTACCGTAGACCATCCCCCGCAATTTCAGTTTGCTTTTTTATTAATGCCAAGTGCTATTTAAAAAGTAAATGAATTTTTTACCAACACTCGCTTTTTAAGCGGTAACATAAAAAGTGTAACACTCCTTATTAAACCAAAAAATGCCCGAAAAAGGGTCCGATCATTCTGATCGAAGACCTAAGCACTAAAGTCGGAATGAACAATACCGCGTATGAAGAACTCATGAGATGACTAGGACTGGGAGAACGAAACGAAAACGATGCGAGATATATAAATCTATGTGCCTTCAACAAAATGATTATTTGAAGACATTATATTATCCCACAACGCACACACAAAGCTACATACGTTTCACCGGATCTCACTACAGAGCACAGTTTGATCACCTTTGTATCAATAAAAGGTTCAGAAGATGGAAGATGTAGGAAGTAGCAGTTTTTAGAACATGTGTTATGTATGCCCAATTATCATCTACCTTGACGGTCAATGTTGTTCGGTATATGAGTTGGTTGAAAGAAATCTAGATTCAGCTTAATCCTAAATGTAGCTAACATCAATCCATAAACACTAACTTTGTTTAACTGATCTGTGTTGTGAAAGTGTAGAAGACTTGTGTTACTGTCCATGTGATTATTGTAACCAATGGTCAAAGACTTTGGGCGACACATTGACACAAATTTATTCGCATTACAGGGGTTGTGAAGATTGTTAAGTTACACATTTTTGAAACCATGAATCGATCAATGTTAGACCACCATTAGAAACCTGGAAGCACTGGACGGCCGTTTCGTCCTTGTATGGGATTCCTCAGCAGTGCGCATCCACGACTCCTGCACCCGGCAGGATTCGAACCCAGGACCTTCGGTATTGTAGGCAAACGCCTAACCATCGGGCTACTGAGCCGGAATCTAACGGTGTTAATGTCTAAATCCGTGAATTTGATAAAGTTAGACATTAACACCGTTAGATACCGGCTTAGTGGCCCGATGGTTAGGCGTTTGCCTACAATACCGAAGGTCCTGGGTTCGAATCCTGCCGGGTGCAGGAGTCGTGGATGCGCACTGCTGAGGAGTCCCATACCAGGACGAAACGGCCGTCCAGTGCTTCCAGGTTTCTAATGGTGGTCTAACATTGATCGATTCATGGTTTTACAAATTTATTCGTTTTGCATTTTTTATTTTAAAAATATGCTACAGATTGCATATATATATATATATATACATATATATCTGATCGTTTCATTTCAAATCTTTTTTATTTGTTTGAACTAATAGTATGATATGGATACATTGTTAATGAAAAATCAATGTGAATGTTTAAATGAAGATGATACACATTCACTTGCTCAATTGTTAAATTCTTCCGAAAATAATACTAATAATAATTCCAAGGCATATTTACTTTCAGATACAGATGAACAGGTTAGTGTGTGTGTGTGTGTATACGTTTGTGAGTGGATGGGTGAGATTTATCTTTTTATTAAGTGTATATACTGTGTTTATTCGGTTCTGTGCAATATTTCTAATCGTTATGTACGGATTAGTAATACCTAGAATGAAACAATGAGATTCGAACGAGTGGCCTTTGGATGATTTTATCAGCACTGTAAGTTAGTTCGAACCTGTGGGGATAGTAAGTTAATGATTAGATCACCCAGTGGGTACTACGTTCGAACCCAGCCGCAACTACTTTCGAAGGGAGCGGTAATGACTGGCATTACTAGTTGTTTTTTTCAATTAGAGTTATGGAGATTAGTGTTTCTTGCACATCGAAATCATCAATCAGTCATTGTTATACCACTGTTAGAAACCTGAAAGCACTGGACGGCCGTTTCGTCCTGGTATGGGACTCATCAACAATGCGCATCCACGGCTCCTGCACCTCGCAGGATCCGAACTCAGGACCTTAGGTCTTGAGCGCGAACGCCTAACCTCTGAATGCTCACTGCTGACGAGTCCCATACCAGGACGGAACGACCGTACAGTGCTTTCAGGTTTCTAACCTTGGTCTAACAATCATTGATTGATGATTACTACTTGTGTCATACACAAAGTTTATTGACTAATCTAGATCTTCAGAAAAGGAAGGTTTTCATCACGGACAGAATCATCAAGTGTTTAATGGCTTATTTAAACTCACAATTATTGGTACAGAGAGGCACTTGGATATTTATGTGCCACACAAATTATCAAGTTTATGAGTGGAGTGGGATACTGACTGAGCTTCCAAATTGAAACGAGTGGGTTTCTTGGTGGATCATCCCTGTAGACTTTGACATACAGTTCTAGTCCACAAGGTACTAGGGCGACGTCAGCTGATGCAGTTCCATGGAAGCCGTTGACGAAGACTAGATTCACACTTTATTTATTTCCTCGAGATGTTTGAGTCAGGTCTTTTCCTATTCCCCTAAATGGATCTTCCATAACTCACCAACCTAGTTTAATCCCTGACCGAACATTCGCCTTTCCTCCCTTCAATTTCGTCAATACTCCCTTCCACATGAAGGCGCAGTGTCATTTAAACTTCCTTGACAGTCGATGTTTTTGTGCGAATATATATTAGCATTTGGACATGGCAAGCAAATTTTCTTTATTCTCAGCTGTTTCAGTACACTTAGAAGCAAATGATCAAAGCTAATCCGACAGTTTTCCCGTTTTCGGTCATGAAACCATTTAGTAGTAAACAAATATTCTATTGGTTAAATTCTGTGCAACATTTTGTTGTGCTTACCCTAGAAATTAAAAATTTGTTATAATAATTATTGTTCCAAATCGCTGTCCTTGTGACACCAATCATAAAAACGTCTTTTTTAGTCAAATTGACCTCTTTCCTTGTTAATTGCAATTTTTTACGGTTATGTAAATAGACGTGTAAATAATGATATGCTTGTTCATTGTATTGCTTTTACTTGAGGTGAGAAAGTTTTCTCTTGCAGAATTTCCTTTCTATTCTCTTTTTATTCTACATTCAAGTGTTTTCAATAGAGGAAGGTAAACTATTTTGACCGTAGCTGCTACCTTGACGTGGTGGTCGAGCTTGCGTTTCGTAATCATCCAGCCGATCTTTGTTGGCTGAAACATATGTTCTTTTAGGTCTCATCATGCTAGGCAGATAGATTGGAGAACGGTAAGTTTGAATGCAGCAACTTATGCTCTGAGGATGAAGTCCTACTGCTGACTGTAGAGAGATGCAGTGATGCTGCCTTCTCACAAGGAAGGAAGGGATTAGGAAATGTCGACTCAAAAAATGTCACACCTCACCCTACCCCGTGGATTTTTGTTTTAGGTGGTAAGGCCATTTGAAGACCACGTTAGAAGCCTCCCAAAAATGGTCGTGCGTGACCTGCCACAAGCAGCTGTCCGTTGTGCTCTGCGTTCACGCTCCCAGCTCACTAAGACTAAAATCAATCCAACTTCCTATTCAGGTCATTCAAGAAAAAATACCCTTCCATGGTGTGGGTAACCGGGGAAGTGACCTTTGCCCTCATACCCTTAAAAGCACCAGAGACCGAATTGGTCACATCAGATCATTCCTATACCTCTTGATAACTCTTATCTCCACGACCAACTCTTTTCACATTCTTTTATCACCTCGTGCCACTGATGCACGACAACTTTGCATAAATTTACTATTTTGTGGATTAGACTTGTTGCGAGTCGAAGTCTGACGGAATGGCTTCCTAAGAAGATCACCTGTTTCAGTTTAGGCACCTGGTCAGTATCCTAATAATCCACAGATAAATTCAATTGTTCATTTAGCGCATACATATTTGATGCAACTTTGTATCATTGTTCATGTGTTTAAATAAATAAATAATAAATAATCCACCTTGGAAACGCTTCATGCAATCAGCATTGAAGTAGATCTATCACTCAAACATCTAGAAAACGTAAACTCACGTTCCACGACTCTGATTAAATATTAAGCCTTACCACTACTATATTTATAATGATTCTCGAACACTCCAGAAGCTGAAGTTCATTTTTCTGTACATGAACTTAGCTTGGAGTAAAGCGTCCTTTTCGTACTTCACGCCTTTACTTTTGTGTTCAAGTTGCAGTGTATATTTATTCTAAGGTTATTAAAAGCGAATAGAAAATCATATCTTACATTCATTTAGTTGATATCAGGGGGTATGAGGACAGACGTCACTTTCCGGTCGCACACACCGCGGAATGGTATTTCTTCTTGAGTGATCTGTAGAAGAATTAGGATTAGCGTAACCCCAGAGCTCAACAAACTACTGTTTAAGACCGGTTACACACGACCTTTTTATGGAAAGTTTTTAAAGTGTTAGATCCACTCTTCAAAAAGCTTTACCATTAGACACGGAAATCCGTGAGGTAAGGCAGGTGTGACATCTTTAGAGTCGACCTTCCCTAACCCCTTACTTCCTTATAAGAAGGCAGCATCACTGCCGATGCTGGTTGTCTGAGGGAAACACTACTGCAGTCACATCCCTCTACAGTCAACCGTATGACTTCACCCTCAGAGCATAAGTTGCTGCATTTAGTCTTACTGTTCTCCAATCTATCTGCCTAGCATGATAAGACCTAAAAGAACATATGTTTCAGCCAACAAAGATCGGTTGGATGATCACGAAAAGCAAGCAAGGTAGCATCTGCAGTCAGGCTATAGGACAAGAATCCTTTATATTATACAGTTTGGCAATGTTTGCAAATTTATCACTAACCTATTTATGCAACAATTAATTTATTTTTCTCTTTTGTTTCCTTCAGCTCATTATATACATTACTTTCTCACAATTCGTTCGTATTCAATCTGTACAGATTAATGGACCTAAAGGTATCTTTTTTATGGTACATTTGATCTCGAATCATTATTATTATTATTATTATTATTATTATTATTATTATTACGTATTTTATAATTATCAATTTGTGAATCTTATTTGATTTTTATTAAGGTTAGTCTTCAACGTTCTTAGAAGCATGAAAGTGGTTGTTACTACTTGCTTTATCACAGCGTGGGAGGATGTCTTTTCTTATGGAGGGGAGTGATCTTGGTGTTCTATGTTCTTGACTGTAGAGCCTGAACTTGAACTTGATCACATATGAGCTTTTCAATCATTTCTCTCTTACTTTGAATGCCGTATAACCGAAGATAGATATCTCTGGGGTTAAGTGAGGTGTTCTATATTTAGGTTTGGATTTTTTCGTTCTGATGTAAAAAGGCAGATGATGGTTCCCTAAGGGTAACACATACTGTGACACACGAGTACAGTTGGCAATATGATCTAGCCTTCGGACTATGAGTTAGCGTAATTTTGTCACAGAAGGTTATGAAACAAGGCGACACTAAATTAATCTACGCAGACTACGTTACATCACGAATTAAGATACGTTGCAATCTATCTGTAGTCGGTGGTACTTTATTTTACATAAAAAAGACGTGTAAAGTTCGGTTGGTATATTCCACTTGTCTAGATCACATGAAAATACTTCTCCTGGAGAGATATAAGTAGAAAACTGGGTTTTCTGTCAGTTTTTAAGGTTTGATCACAGCACCGAACAGGCCATTATCCTGACTATTTAAGGTCTCATTTCTTGAAAAAAATTTTGAAACTATTTTCATGGTGCTACCAAAGCTTGTCATTAGCACTAGAAATCTATGAAGTGAGGCAGTTGTGTGTGTGTGTGTGTAATTGTTACGTCACCGTAAGTAATCGATTTTATAAACATCTGCACACGATAATACCAGACCATAAGACTAATGAAGCCACGAACTGTTCTTCTTAGCTAGATTACCATTCAAAGTCAAGAACCACCATATTCTTATTTACTTGCTTACGCCTTTTACTCCTCGTGGAACATAGGCCACCAACCAGAATTCTCCAACCAACTTTGTCCTGAGCTCTACTTTCCACTTGTTCCTAAGTGCTATTCATTCCTTTGTAGTCTACCACCTAACCGGCTCCTTTTGCCTTGAAGAATCCAAGTTAGGGCTTGCCTCGTGACTCAGTTTGATGATTGCCGTAATTTGTGTTCTGCCTACTTCCAGCTCTTTTTCCTGATTTCCTCTTCATCTCGAATCTGGTTTGTTCTCTCCCATACCAGGTTGTTGCTGATAGTGTCTGGCCAATGAATCCACAATATTTTGCATAGCCATCTGTCAATAAACCGCTGTGTCTTTGTGGATGATAGATTTCGTGGTTCTCCAACTTTCCACTCCATATAATATGTGATAGGTTAAGTGTTCGTTAAAAAAAGCCTCAAGGTTCTATGCTCGAAACTTAATATGATCGTGGACATATGTACACCACTGAGGCGTTTCATACTAGTATAAAACAACTGTCCAATGTTATCGATTTTCTAAATTGATTCAATTCATGTTTTTTTTCAAATTACATCAATCAATAAAGCAATTTTTTAAATTCCTGATTGTACTTGGAATAGTTTGTTTGAAAAAGGTTTTTTTCCCTTCATCTTATAGAGAATGCACCTAAAACAGTGAAATTATTTATTAATCAAACATCAACACCTGATTTTGATAGTTGTGAAATTGGTGAAGCTGTACAAACATTAGAGTAAGTTTATTAATTTGTTATTATTATTTATCATCCACTAGAAAGATCTAATTTCTTTCTCTTTGAAAATGTTCACATTAATTAAGTTGATTAATAATAGTTCAAGTAGAAGGGCTTTTCAATTTAGTCAGTCAGCTACAAGGTAGAACTTTGTACGTGTATGTACATCAGTTCAAGCTGTGGTCATACCACATTGACACAGAGAGACAGAATTATCATTTTAAATCCCTTAGTGGTAGAGGTTGTAGCAATCGAAAAGATTAGGGACCGAAGATATGATTCGACTTTTAGCAATGTTATTCGAAGTCTGTATAACCACCGGTTACGATTTTCTCACGAACCGCATCCAGGTAGACTATATCTACTAACATGACTCAGTCCATTTGTCAATGAATTGATGAATCTCTGCCATGTTTTTGTTTGACCGCCACTATCTTTCTTCCAGCTTACCCCTACATCACAAAACATCTCCCGTCGAGGCAGTCGGTCGTTGGGCATACGTAACACATGTCTCAACCACTTCAACTGATGAAGATTCACTACTTCATCAATTGATCTGTCATTCTTAGCCAGCACCCTTCCCCTAACAACAGCATTACTTACTCAGTTGTCTCAAGATACTCGAGCAATACATCAAAAACACCCATGCCGAATAGTAGTAACCTATGAATGTCCTCTATTCTTAATGGCCAGCTTTTACAACCATATAGTAAGATGGAGCAAACTGCTGCGTAGTACACTTGTCCCTTTGTTAGACGGCGTAGACGGATATCTCTTCTACTCCATCTCAGTTGTTGATTACTTAGTAATAAAAATGGAATTCCTCTTTTGAGTTCGTTTAATTACAGCTTTCGGACTGTTTTGTAATAACCCTTTAAGATAAATAGGATACTTATTTAAGATTTCTTATCTGATGATAAGATCTTATCGTTTCCGTTGCTCCCTGTACAAAAGTCCAAAAAACTAAAACAAATTGATATTTACGCGTCGAGTATTCTTATAAAATGTTTTTCTGTTTTGTTGTTGATCCAACAACTTTTCAATGAAAGTTGTAATTTTCGTACAACTACGTAATCAATACGCGACGATGCGTTTGCACATTGTCAGCAGTTTGTTTGTGGTCTGTAACTCGAACCGTAACCACATTGTGTCATCTTACCTACTTACTAAACTTGAATGCCCTAAATACCTTGGTACAGCTGACAGTGGGGAGAGTCCACTGTCCCTGCTCAAATGCCCTCATATGGCCACGTGTGTGTAGCTACTGTCAAGGAAGTCCTACTCACTGCCCTCGTGTGGGAGGAGTGTTTACGAAATTGAGTGAAATGAAGGTGGTTTTTCGGCCAGGGATTGGTGAGTACGGAGGATCCGGTCAGGCGAGTTGAAAAACCCTAATAGTCCCTATGGAATCCTGGATCCTGACGAAACAAGTGGTTTACGAACCTAATGTTTGTCACCGGCTACCGTAGGACTGCATCTCCTGACGTTATTTTATTTTCTTGTGAATTAAACCTGTAGATCAAAGGCTTAAGGAACGGCTGTCTAAAAAAACTACCTGTTTCAGTTTGAGTGTTCAGACATTATCCTAGTCCTAATATAAGTTTACGGATTTGTATAGCGCATAATTATTTATGTGCCTTTTTACCAAGACTTTTGTCGTTAAATAAATACACTAGAGTTAAATTCATCTAACTTTAGTTGTTAAATCCTAGCTCATACATTTATTGTACAGAGCAGTATTAAGAGGTGTAGAAAGGATTTGATTGAGACTGATTCGGTCTCGTGTGATGGGTATGAGAAGGATGTTACTTCCCATTTGCCCATACCGTAGAAGGGTTCTAGTTGTCAGAAAGGGCATCGGCCTCATGAATTTCGAAGAAATACGGCTTTCATCATGAGACACCATAATTCTTCTAAATGAAGACCTAACTCCCAGAGCAGGGTTTATTTGGTTTGAATTGTTTTTTCGTGTTAGCGTTTTTCAGTGAGTTGCTTTTTTGTGAGATGGGGTCCCCACCACCAAGCCCAATACTCTTCCTTTATCCGGGCTTGGGACCGGCAGTAGCCCCGATGGGTCCAGAGGCGGAAGTGGTTGGGACATGTGTTACGTTTGCCTAAACACTGACTGCATCTTCGACCTGGCTGGGGTCCGTGAGATGATAGTAATCGATGGTTAGAGACCCTGAGTGACATGGCTGAGAATCGTTTGCAATGGCGCAGGTGCATTCATTCTTTGTGTTCTCTCAAATTCTTGTCTTCAGAATAGTGTTGTTGATACCTTTTTTTACCAATTCCTCTTTCTACAATGATGATTGGTTAATTGATTGTTGTTGTTATTTTTGGTTCGTTAATTTCATTGTCTCAAGTCTATTTCTTTTATTTGATGTGCAAAACTCTCATAAAAGTTTCATCTTTTTCGTCTCATTATTTTATTATTAACGTTGGAGTGATAGTTTTATATGTTTGATGTTCAGTCTACCCGAGTTCTTGATAATTACATTCGTACTGAAAAAAATTCTTCATACGTTCATCAGTTTTAGAGAAGGCTTACTGTAAACTAATAATACACAAACATTTCTATCAACGTACTAGCTATATCTCATAAATATTGTTTGCAGTGCTTTGTAATATTTCAGTTTTTGACAAAAAATCAAACTTTGACTATTCTTTACTGCGGTTACTGAAATATATTAATATTGAAGTAAGCCAATCAGAAGTGGCCGAACGTGATAGTCACTTGATGACACTGAGAAATATCTTAAAATACTACTGCATATGGTTGAATTTAAGAAATGAGACATATATATATACATAAATTAGTATTTAGCGGACCGTAGCTGGTCCCTTGACGTGGTCGTCGGGCTTGCCTTTCGTGATCACCCAGCCGAGCTATATTTCCAAGAACATCTGTTCCTGTAGGTTCTACCATGCCAGGCAGGTCTATTGGAGGACGGTAAGACTAAAAGTAGCAACTCAAGGTCTGAGAGCGAAGTCGTACTGCTGACTGTGATGGAGAGGTGTGGCAGCAGTATGGTGTTTCCCTCGGACAACCTGTATCTGCAGTGATGCTACCTTCTTACAAGGAAGGAAGGGCTTAGGGAAGGTCGACTCTAAAAATGTTACACTTCACTCTACCACACGGATTTTCGTTTTCAATCGTAAGGCCATTCATAGAGCAGAGCTTCCCGAAAAGGTTCTTACGTGACCAACCACAAGCAGCTTTACGTCGGACTCTGTGTTCACGCTGCCAGGTCTCTGAGACTAACACCAACCTAACTTCCTTTTCACGTCGTTCAAGAAAAAATACCCTTCCACCGTGTAGGCGACCGGGGAAGTGATATTTGCCCTTATACCCGTAAAACAACACATGAGATCAACTGAATAAGTATTTATGTAAATGGCTCGGTAGCCAAATTGACTTTCTTTTCTACTCTTATCTTCACGCTCTGTTTGTCAGTTTAGTAGAGTGTTAGCAAATATTGCCATTCAGATCTCAAACAATGCCCATCACAATAGGAGCAATTATTTTTATTTTTTCATGTTTACTCTTTTTGTTTTACTCAAGATTAACAGAAGACGATATCAAAGATGGTGGAATAACTCAGTTAAATTTTGTAAAATTTCAGAATGTCAGTACACTTACGGTAAGTGAAAATCTATACCCTATATGTACATTTTTAACTATTATTGTTTGTTGAGTCGGTGTAATCTAACAAGAAGACTGTGAATTGTACGATTACTTGAAGTAAGAAGATAAAGATGAGTATTGTTCGACACTGATTGCCTTCAAAGTATTGATTTTCTTTGTGACTTATCTACAGTCCAGTCATATTGAAAATTCAAATTGTTTAGATTGAATTAAGTAGTATTTAATAGTACTTCATAAATAATTTACTCTGTGAACACATATTTACAATTATCATACAATCAAGTACTTATGATTAATTTACTGTGTTATTTAATTGGTCCTTTTCAAGATATGATTACGTCATGTCAAAGATGTTCGATAGAACAAATTAATTTCTTATGTCATATACACTGCAATCAATTATGTCCTTACTGACCATTATCATTTTCGCTCATTTCAAGTGTTAGATTTTCATTTGTTACCTCATCAGTTTTGCTCATGAGAATTAAAAGGATGTAACGCGAATGACCAAACCAAGATTTAAATCAGGTTTGTGAGTACAGAGAATTCACACAGGGGAGTTAGAAAAATCTGATTCCATACCAATCATGCACATCGGCCCTATCATCCTGACGGACTAAATGACTTCTGAACTTACTGTTGGTCATCGGCCACCACCATACGACTGCACATCCATTGATGTTGCTCCAATTATCTTATGGATTAGACTTGTAGGTCAAAGGATCGGGGAGTAGCCCCCGGTTGGGGCGTCTGGACAATACTCAATTCCACTTACAAATGCCATGATTTTCGGACTACATAAATATTGAGGTGCTCTTTTTTCCATCACGTATGTATTTTAGTTGAAAAATATAACGACAATCATCAAATCGCTATAAGCAACAACTGATTCGCTCACTCCTCTCTCTGTATATACATAAAAGTTATGACTTTTAAACTATAGAACTTCTACAACTCTTTGAAAAATAAGACCAGTAGAAAGAATACATACTACACATTAAATACATTTTATTTATTAAGTAAATGTATGAATGATGTGCAATACTGTTAAAAAAAAAGTGAATATTATTTAATCGATTGTCGTACCCGACTACCTTACTGGTTAATCTCTTTTTTAATCATTGTTGTCATCATTTGTAAATTATATCCATAATAGATTTTTGTGCAAAATAATCAATCATCAACTGATCAAACTCGCATAGATAAATTGAAATTTTACGGTTATCCAGTGAATACTATCAATATGAATGAATTTAAAAGAGTAAGTTTTTTATGTTCTATGAATAATAGAATTAGATATTTGTTTGTGGTGTGTTTGTGTGTGTGTGTGTATGTATTTGTACATTTGACTATTGATTATTGAACGGATTGAAACGATATATTTGTTCAAAAGAACGTGCTTACTTATACCTATTACCTCTCATAGAGCATATATTATACCTCGTAGCACAACTGAGTGATTACCAGTAATCGATAACTCACTGAATAGTGCGTTCAAGTTGGAAGGAACAACTATTGGATTAAAATCTCATTTTAAACATCAACTTTGGACTACAGGTTTATGATCTAGATAAGACAAAACAACTGCCCAGTTTGTGCATGTTTTGGGAATGGACTATTATCCTGTTCACAGAATACAAATTAGATTGATCAAGGTTAAACATGAACATCGTTGGATACCGAATTAAGTGGTCCAAAGGTTAAACGTTTGCAAGCAAGACAGAAGTTTCCAGGTTTGAACCCGGTGATTAGCAGAAGTCTTGGGTTCGCACTACTGATGAGTCCCACTCCAGGACAAAACAGCTGTCCAGTGCTTCCAGGTTTCTAATGGCGATCTAACAATAATTCATTCATGATTTCAAGGTTTACCAAAAACATTCAGAGCTAAAGTTTAAAATTTTCGCCGCTATTTCAATACTTATTAACATTAGTCACAAAAATTATAAAAGAAATGTTTGCTTCATTATGACTGAACAAATAATAATGGTACTAATTAATCAGTAGGGAAGCTTGTTTTCCTACTAATCAACATACAATATAAAACAAATTTTACAATGTAGTTTATTGCTACTTATAAGTAGCATAATAAGTTTACACACATTTTTGTTTTCTTTTCGCTTGCAATTAATTATGAAGAAATTCTGTAGGGTAATTCCTTTTCATGATCGGTCACTTTTTGTATCATTGAAATATGGCGACGATACATTATTAAATCACTGAGTTATCTCATTTCTTTAGGGAACTTATTGACCTAATGCTCGCGTCAATGGAACCTAGAAACTTCGGTCTCGCGCGTGAACACTTAACCTCCAGACCCCAATTGAGCTGGTATCCAACACTGTTAATGTCTGACTTCAATCAATCCATGATAATTTGTGATTATCATCCTTTGCCTAAATTGAAGAACTGTCTCACACTCAACACGAATTGAACTATGCTAGTCATGGTTTCTCACTAGAACTACAGGAAACTATGAAAATAATACAATCTCTATGAATTCTCTTCAATTTTTTTATTGTTCAAGCGTCCCACAATTTTGTGCTATATCTTATGATTGCTAATCACTGATTCACTGTTCTAATGTGTAATGATGAAGTAATTTCGATGAAACCGGCTTCACAGTTGGTCATTATGAAAATGTTAAAAGCATGAAACCATGTTATAGAGAGAGAACCTTGGATAGATTAAACAAATGTATTATTCACCCAAAAAATTGGAAATTAATAACATCGATTTACTCTAGAGTTTTCCAAATGAAGTTAGTTATCATTGAAATTCTCGTAATTTTTGGAACAAACTTAGTTCTTATTCGATTTGTGAAAATTCTCACTAATATCTATGTGTATTGATTTATTTAATTTTTTTAGGTGTCTGGGAAAAAAGGTGAAGCTCATGGTTGACTTCGTGCAAAAACATTTAAACAAAAACGATACCTCACATTCTTATGATCTGTAATGTAAACACAACCTATTGTATTCGTTCCTATGCGTGTAATTGTGTGTGTGTGTGTGGACATTTGAAATGCTTGACTCATATTTATTAATCTCTTCTTCTCTTTTCATTCTACTACTACCTTGTAACTTAAATTCCTATTCTTTAAAATAAACACATTCAACTTGAGAATTCAGTATTATTTTGGCATTAATAGGTTAGTGTATAATTAGAGATGGATAGTGACTACCAATGGAATCCAGGACCTAATGACTATATATATAGCCATAACCGACCAGTACAGTTGTATTGATCGATATTCTGGTCTATTGTTACGCCTGCACGTAAACACGTCATTTTGATATGCTTGAACTATAACGAGTTTGCCTAGTCGGAAAACGAGAGCGAGGATCCGGCGACAGGAAATGCTACACAATCCGAGTGTCCCAAACCCCATATTGAGTAAAAATAAGAAGACTTGATATGAAGTGGAACCTATATTCTACTAGCATCCACAAAGTACGAGTCCAGAAGAGAACCAGGGTCCCAGACTTGGGGTGCGGGAGCGGGTCCTGATCATAGAACGATACATTTAGGTTGAATAGGAAATTGCATCGAAGTTTGTGACATTGACAGCTAAGACGACCAATAAGGAACAACATTTAGAGTGACATTGAAATTCAGGACGACCAATAAGAAACAACGTTGGAGCACGTGACATTGATATCTAGAACGATCGTAAAATTGACCAGTAGAAATTAACCAATAGTAATTGACCAATAATTCTCTTAGGATATTGGACGAATATCCTAAAATCTATACAAGCATAAAATCTTACTTCGTTAAATATTGAATGCCATAGAATAGAGTGAATAATTATTTACACTACTATTGAGCCGTAGCTGACATCAATTAATGAGCATTTGTAAAAGCCTTCGATAGTTACGCAATATCATCGACATACTGAATATGAAGAATGGTATTATGATTTGAAATCATGTCTTTTTTTAACGTTCTAGACTTTATAAGTTATATCTTTACTTAAAATTCTCAAATTTTTTAGTCGACTTAAATTAAGCTTTTATTAGTTCGCTATACCTGAGCTTTTTCCTATTCCTTGTCCGAAAATGAGAATTCAACAACCGACCTTTGTTATATCTCAGTCAATCGTAGCTTAGAACTCGGTACGTGTAGGTACATCAGCGCACGTTTCCATACCACATCACAGAGTTAGAATTGTCGGTAGAAATCTCATGGTGATAGAGGTTTAGCGATTACCAAAAGATCAGGGATCAAATATATGATTCGAAACACACCCTAATGAAAAATCTTTCAGTCCCTAACCATCGGTTACCATTGTCTCTCGGACCCCATCTAGTTAGTCTTGACCTACCAACATGGCTCAGTCCACTTGACTTCATGGATTTGTGCCACGTTTTGGTTTGGCCGCCTTTGGCTTTCTTCCAGCCTACCCGTACATCACGGAACCGCTCGTCAGGGCAGTCGGTGGTCAGGCATATGTAACACATGTCTCAACTGGTTAAGATTCACCACTTCATCTATTGATATACCATCCTTACCTAGTATCCTTTTCCTAACAACTGCGTTGCTTACTCATTTTTCTCAGGCTATACGAGCAATAATTCGAAATCAGTTGTAATAAAATACTAGTGACCTACGAATATCCTCTATTCATAGTGGCCGTGTTTCACACCCGTAAAGTAGGGCGGAGCGAACTGCTGCGTAATGCACTCGTCCCCTGGTCAGCAAACGAATATCTTGTCTACACTATAAATGACGCAGATTGACAAAAGCCAGTCGACTTTTCTGTATCCGTTAGGAGATTTCGTCAGTCACAAGGCTATCAGCACTGATGAGACTCCCAAGATAGTTGAAGCGATTAACACGCTCAACTTCATTCCCTATCATTAGTCTACGTTCTGATTAAAGTCAATCCTGAAGCAACATTTTGCATTTCGACGGGGAGACTCGCATCTCGAACATTCTTGCATTGTTGCTTAGGGTTGTCAGAAGTCTGTATTTCGTCAATGTCTTCGCAAAATAAAACTATGTAAACGGCATATTCTAGGTCAACAAGTGAATCCCTTGATAGAAGGTCAAAGAGTGAAAACGTCATCTTTAAAAGCCTGGTGATGCCTGATTCCTATTGACTGTAATTTTCCACTGTTTTGCTGTGTATCTGTTCTACTAAATAAATTGGATAGTTTTTATGAGTAAATCTATCATTAAAAAATATCGAGATCATGTTGAATATTTCTGTGAACAGCTTCCTCGAAAATATGAATCCCATTAAGCAACACTACTAGAAGACCGAGTTCTATCGCGTTAGAGAGAAGTATAAAATGTGGCTAGAACGGTAATATTATCAAATGGCAACACACAGTTTATAACTGATTACTTCAAACGAGTAATTAACGAATTGAATATATATATAGATGATCACAAATAAGTCCAATAATAAATGTACATGATTGGCTATGAAACGACTTACATTTCTTAGTAATGAAACACTTCATACATACGTACTATTTTCGACTGGTTAATTTACATCTTTCGTACTCAAATAGCCGTTTAGGCTTGTGTTCATAGAATTCGCATATCAGCATCAACTCACGGACATTATGTCACCGCAGTATTGAACATTATTTATCAGGTGAGTAAAATATGACTGATCATCACAGCATTATGGGAAGTAAAAAAGCTTTCGAAGAAATTCAATTACTAATTTTCAAACCTTACAGTATCGTGAATGAAATTTTACAATAACCCATATCAAGGTCAAATAATATATAGTACTTCGTAAATCGAAAATATTTCCAACCTCCTGTTATGTCATCCACTTAGCGATGAAGTTTTAAGTTGTAATTGGGTAAATTATCATCAAAATATGTGCAGGCAAACTTGTCTGACACCGGTCTTCACTTGAAATGAGTCTTTGAGCTGCTTGCTTATCATGCAAGATTTTGTGTTGTAATCCATTGTAAGAATTCTGTATGGTGTTGACTACATTCTCAAGCACACCATAGTGTCGAAGAAGTCTCGAGAGAGATACAGTCTGCTGAGTGATATAATGCTGATATTTCTATTTTACACAGGACGAACACTGAACGATGTACTTACGTCTACACTAGATACAGTACTACATTACTCGATAACTAAGATCAAGAACAAGTAGCTCATGTTCGACTAAAACTTGGACTCGTTAACAATAATAAACAATCATAGTAGTACAAATATATATATGTCTCGCTATCTACCAATTTGTCTATGTACACAACTAATCACTACTTCTTTGCGACTACACAAACATTGAGAAACAAACTAGCAAATGTTAGGCTAAATGAAACGAATGCAGCATCCATCATTCAACAAATAGCCAGCCGTAAAGAACAATTTTGCTCAATTCTCAAGGTCACAGCATGTATTATCATCGATCTTATTTATAGACAGACGATTTGAAAAACAAAGCAGAATCAGATTTTTAAGAAAAAAATAGCTATAAACTACATTGGAATCAATGATCAATATATATATATATATATATATATATATATATAGTGAGAGGAAAACTCTAATGTGACATGACAATTGAATTTATCTTATAGTAATTAATAATAATTAAATTTCAAAACTTAATGAATGACTGACAACATATTTTTAAATTAAAAGACGCGCGAACAAGTGAAACAACAACATCAAAACAAAGTATTCTGATATTAAAATAATACAAACATAATAAAATGAAAAAAAATTTTTTTTTCTGAAACAAAATGAAATCTGTATGTGAACAACCATAATAATAATAATAATAATAATAATAATAATAATAATAATAATAATAATAATAATAATAATAATAATAATAATAATAATAATAATTGCAAAAAAGAGAAAAGAATATAACAGGTTATTGTTCATTTTGTTTTAATCGACTAACTACCCTTGAATAATATTAAGGGTAAATAAGTAAAAAAAAAAGAAACAGGTTGAAAGTAAAATAAGATAAAATAAAATAATTGATCAATAAAAATGTGATTCAGTGTAAGAAAGAGACAAGCAATTATTTGAAATTAAAAAAAAATATGCAGATAGAGATTGTAAATATTGTGTTTATTTTTTCTCTTTGAATTGTACGTCAATCAGTCAGTCAAATTTTAATAGGTATTGTATTGTAGTAAGTAGTATGTCCATTCTTCTTTTTTTTTTGTATTCTGTAAAAAGTGAAACACACTATATAGTTGAGCAAAAAAAATGTGTGTTGAACAGCAAAGAAAAAATTAAAACTGTGAGTCAAAAAAAAAAAACAAAATAACTAAACAACCTGAGATGAAAGTGTATTGTTCTCTTGACTATCCACGGAGGTGGGGGCGGGTTAGTCATTATGAAAATACAAAAAAGTATTCCGCAATTGTATGTAGTTTCTCAGTGGTGGAGTTTGAATAGCTCAACAGGAAGTGAGACTAAAGGTATTTTTAAATGTCGCAGTAGGTGTAAAACCACTGGGGGTTTCCAGTTCTAACTTTTTAATTAATTCATGATTATGCACACGATCATCACCTCTCTATCAACACCACTTGTAGGTCACTGCTTTACATTTCATTTAAATGAATTCAAATCAATTACAGTCTCTCAATGAGTAATTAAATTGAGTCAGTGAGTAATATACACCATGAAACTCATTTCTTATGCTTCATCTTTTATTCTCTTAAGTTGATCGACATAATATTGATGGCATACTATGTATCTATTTAAATGTGCTGTACTATATAACCTATTTATATTATGTACAATGAACAAAATTTCCTAACTTAAACACAAGATCCATCTTGGTGTTTTTCGTAAGACTAAAAAAACCTATAAGGCCGATGATTGTATAATTATTAGCCATTAAATTACACTAAATTCATAAATATGTAATTTGTAAATTCAGTGTACCCGATGCCTAAAACTCTACATACAAAAACACAAGGCAAAATCATTTATTTCAAAAAAAGAAGCCTCAACATTAAACAGAAGATAATCGGGAAAAGTTAAATAAACACTGACGACCTTGAGCGACCTACCAATCAATTAGGAAAAAATAAATACCTAAATGCTATAAAATATGAGAGGAATCATAAATTCGATTGGATGAAAAATCAATCAACCTTCATAGTGTCGAATTATTCCATGTAGTAGAAGAGAAAAGTTTATACATATTCAATGTCATAATAGTGCTATGAGTTAGGGTTATCATCAACCCACAGACACCAGCAATAATATTAAAAGGTTACAGGGTTAGAGGTTTTGAAATTTGAGGTGAATTTCTAAGTTTAGTCCTTCAAATTAGGGTTAGAATTTTCATCACGAAAGGTTATCAGCCTTATCATTGTTGAGATTTAGAGTAAGAGGTAGGAGGGGAGGATGTTCTTTAGCTTCATTCAACACTACTGATTACGCATTGAATCATAACAAGTAATTCAATATGTAATTGACCTTAAGAAAAGTTATGTTTGGTAATTTAGCTTAATCGCCAGCTTAAATTCACTTTTCGGTTTCAAAGTAGAAATTTCTATTGATTTAAATCATTTTAAAGGATCACACATATTTCTTTTTGATTTGAGATTGTTTGACATTGAAATCGTGAATCAACCAATCAGTGTTAGCCCACCACTGGATGCCGGCTGGCTCAGCGGTTCAGAGTTCGATGTGCAAAACCGAAGTTCCTAGGTTCGATTCCCGCTACTGCGGAGACCATGGATATTCACTGCTAAAGAGTCCCATACTAAGACGAAAAGGTCATCCAGTGATTCTTAGGTTTTTGCTGGCGGTCTGGAAACGATTGATTGATTCACTATTTTAATTTTTACTCCGTTCATAATCACAATACCATTCAAGTTAGCTATTGGTACATTTGAAATTTTATTTATTCACTCAAGATCGTTGTCAGTGGTACTTACAATTTTACCAAGATGATTCTTTGTTTTTAAAAAATTTTTATTTTTATTCTCAAATAAAACAAACCAGACTAGTGAAGCTTGTTGGGGATGTTAGATCCCCAAAAGGCGCTTGATAAATATCTTTATTTTGCATTTATTTCATGGACCGATCAGTTAACTTTGAGGTCACATTTCTCACCAGGAAAATCCTTGGCCGTGATTGGTTACTGAGTCATCTTAGTGTGCTTTTTTTATGACTGTCCCAACGACGTCTCTATAAAGTATAAATAAACGCAATTCGAGTGCTTGGATTGATCGTGTGTTGGCTGGGTGTTTGTAGAATACAATTTCTACACTATATCAAGACTTCTTGCTGGTACAATGGGGACAATCGGATCATAGTAGCCTACCTGGACTCTGGTTGATTGTTTTGTTCTCGTTATTCGACTAAGGTGAACAACTCGTAATAGTTTAAGCATATCTAGAGATGAGCGTAATAAAGCTATATTAACTTCATATTGTTAACTTATATAGCATACACCTACTTCTTTCTCTCTCTATAAATGAACCGATTCTTAATGAAAAAAAACACAACAGAAAACGTTATAGTAGCATGTGACCATCATTTTCAATGAGTTACTATTAATAATTTATTGAACATTTATGATTCATCTGATTCATTGTATGTACGTAGATTGTGTTTTCCTATTTTTCTTATCTTGATTTGTGACTTATTTATTCTATAAACTCTTATTTAAATAAACGTATCTACGAGATCCTATTAATTACTTAGATTGCACGAAACAAGACTGTTGTAACATGCAATATTTCAGACTTGGTACTACTACTGATGTACGCATGCTTTTCCTTATAGATAAACTTGATTATTTAAGAGAAAAGGTAGACAGTGAGAAATGAAGTTTGTTTGACTAATTCAATTAAGAAATAACTGTATACATGTGATCATCGCTTAGGAAATTAAGCTTATCAATGGTTGATTATCTTATTAGTTGAACTCAAAACAAATGTCACCAAATACCAATGGCAGTATTTTCAATATAAACGTCAAAACACTACTAGTGTATGAAGCAGTGAACTTGGAGAACTACCAAAACCATCATCCAAGAGATACATGTGTTTTTGAAAAGTTTTCTAAGTAAAATACTCCGGATTTATAGGCTGGACGCCATCATCAACAACCTACTGTGAGCAAGAATAAACCAGATTCCAGCTGACGAGGAAAGAAAGCTAGAGGTGGATAGGATATATATTGCAGGAACCATTCAACTGAATCCCAATGTCAGCCTTAACTTGGAATCCTTAAGAACAAAATAAAAGAGATAAACTAAAATACACATTGCGTCGAGAATTTGAGACAGGTATCAGAAGACTGGAAAAGAACTGGGAAGCAGAGCTCAAGACAGAATTGGTTGGAAATTGCTGTTCAGCGACCAATGCGTCAAGAGGAGTAATAGATATGAAAAGAAGAAGATGGTGATGAAGAAAATACTGTGTGATTGTTTTTTTTTAACACAGATTTAGCTATTTTCTTAAATTGGCCTACCGTATCAAATACAACCACATGATTGATTACTATATAAAGTGATACGATTATTATGGTCAGTGCTAACATTGATGCACACACATCATACACACACACACACATACACCATAATTTACATTTCACACAATAAATGCATGATCTTTCAAGTTCAATTGTCAGAAATACAATTAAAATAGATCACAAGTTCAATTAGATATAATTTTAAAACAAACCTATGAAAATAAACCTACTATAATGGTCAAGACATGTATATATATGTGTATATGTAGGAGTTGGAGAATGATGGCGCAATTAAATTGGTATTAGAAAATTTAATCAGACCAACTGAAACTAGACAGTGAACTCCAACTGCCCCATCTTGGACCCATTAAACCACCGCATCCCCAGCCACCACCCCAACCTCCACCCCAACCACCACCAAATAGACGACTTGCCAAATAACCACCAGCTACACCTGAAGCAAGACCTATATCAAAAGAGGAAAACAAACAAACAAGTTAATAGCAAGTAAATGATTATGTGACAAGAAAAAAATTTCTTCATAAATACTTGGAGGAACTACTGTAGTGAACGAGAACACAGGTGGGGCAACCGAATTCTATTTAACGAAAATTACAGAGTTACTCAGTAAAATCGGAAAACCATATCGTAAATCGTTCATTTGCAAAATATCAGTTCATCCTATCGAACTGGACTGTTCCTGTTGCAAAACATCAATCCATTGTCACTATTCATACGTTTCATACAAATTCCATTGTTTTCTAACTCTTCCTTTCTTGATCTTTCCCCATCTCCCGCTGCCAGACATTACGTTGACGCTCACGTCATATAAGTAGCTCACACCACACTACTACTAGGTAGTTGTGACGGTAGTCATATCTACTTCGTCAAGCAACTAGCATTTAGTGCAATGTTAACTTTTTCACAATGAAAGGAAGGGGTTAACTTGAAAAGATGTTACAGTTTACCTTATGTTATGGATTTTCTGTTATCCGATAGTAACGTTTTTCAATGTACAGAGCTTACCTGGTTGGGGTCCGCGAGACGATAGTCACCGATGGTTAGAGACCTTGAACGACATGACTCAGAATCGTTTGCAATGGGGCAGGTGCATCCACTCTTTGTGTTCTCTCTAATTTTGACCTTATGAATTCCTCATCATCTTTACCATTCTCCTTCTAAATTTATCTTACTGAATTATACTTCTCGAATCATATCATATCTTCGCTCCTTAATGTTCTCCATTACTTCTAATACTTCTATTACTGCTATCACTCTTGGATTTGAACTGTCAGTTGCGTCTCTGTGCTGATGCGGCATGTCAGCCTGAACTGATGTACTTACGTACCAAGTTCTGCGTTGTATCTCTCTTGCCTGTCTTGTACACAGCAAAAAGCTTTCATGGAAATTCTGTTGGTGTGTGGCTAGCTGTAAGCAGTTGTATCATGCTCTTAATAGTCACGCTCTCAGGTTATCAAAACTATATCTAATCCAGTGTTCTGTTTAAAATCACATAAGAAGACATAGTTTCTTATGGTTTAAAAAGCTGAAAAGTGATAAATAATCTTCATAACTTTAACAGCACCTGAAATTACCTCATTTATTGGTTAAAATCATGTGTAAACAAACAGCGGAAACGTTGTGTGCCTCTCACTCGTCTTCCATAAAATCGTGATGTTTTGCACAACTGGTTTCAATTTCACTGACATATAATATTTGATTTGTTTCCCTCATCATCTCTAGGTCATGTAGTCGTCACAGGTTAACAAGAAATTCTCATGTGCTCGTTTAGATTTGTTACTCATACGGTGTTGATTTTATGACATTGTGTATATCGATGTTATCGATCAACTAATGTCAAATACTACTCAATTTTAATGTGTGTATATAAGCAAATCTGACTATTACTCAATGTAAATCACATCATATCATATTTATTTATTTTATTTAAGCACATAAACATTGGTACAAAGTAGCACCTCAATATTTCGACTGGCTACTGCTCTGTTGCCTAATATGAAAGAAGTTTTTTTCTATAGGAGCCACTCCTTGAACCTTTAATCTACATATCCAATCTAGAAAATAGTGGAGCAACGTTAGCCGATGCACTTCCATAGTAGCCGATGAATATCGTGAGGCCCGTGTGCACCAATGATTGAGAATGAGAGTTTCCCACCGTCTGTTTATGTGGATCTTCCGCACTCGCCAACCCGGACATTCGATTTCTGTTTTTTTTTTTAAATTCACATGAACAACACGCTTGATGCAAGAAGGCAGTGAGTAGAACTTCTCTGGTAGTGGCTATACATGCGTGTCCATATGAGAACAACCGTGTTATTATTACGCATCGTGACAATCGTAGTGCTTTCCGTTTCAAACATAAGTTATGAGACCGTGAATACAACACAAAGGACACATATACATAACAGAGTTGACACTGGATACAACATGCAACATATACCGATGATTTGTGTATATGTTTATCAATTTACATATAGCTTCCTAGTCAATACTCATTCCTATAGTAATTTGGGCAAGCATATATCGAAAGTATGAGTGTATATCGAGAAGTATATAACAGTAACAGCCATCCAACATAACGAATGATAAGGAAAAAACACACAAATTTAATGAAATTTTCGACTATAAATAAAAAATCTCGCTAAATATGTAAGTGTTGAATACGACCGAAACCTACCACTACTGGACATTGAAAACCTTACAAGTGATCTCTATTTGTGTTATTTAATCTCTAAGAATTGAAGATAGTCTCTACTGTCATTCGCCACTTTGACGTTGTATTTGAACAAACAAACAATCAGAAGGCAGAGGGAATGATTAGTTTCCTCCCATAGCTTTTACTATTCACCAAAATGTTTACTACTTACAGAAAGCTATGAACAATCGAAAGTTTTCCTATAACAAAAAAATATCACTTTATCCTTCTACAGATGTGTCAAGTGTAGTGTAGCTATACACATAAGATTTTTAAAAAAACAGCACTAATCCGTCCTATAATAGAAACTATTCCTAAATGAACAACAATACTGATTCATTGCGACATGATGTTCTAAGCGTTATTTACACTGAAAGATTAACTTGTACAATGTCTGTTATCATTATCACAAGCAATTAATGTTAATTATGAAATTGGTAGTGAAAATATTTGATCGTTTCTATAATAACAACTGACCTTGAATTCTATTGGTTACCTGTTATTTATTTTGGCAAGAAATTTTCGCTTGACAAAAACTAATCGATTTGTTTGTTAGTTTTCAGTTAAATATTTTTATATGGAATATAAAAATTAGACTTTTGATGATTAATCACGTGAAATGTTATTTCGTTATGAGAAATGAATTACAATGTGTCAGAATCATTGAATGAAACAGTCGTTTATTTTAAAATCAGTTAGAAACAAAGTAGAACTTCATATGTATACACATACATCACTTCAAGTTGTTGTCATACTACTTTGCACAGAGAGATGGAATTGTCAATTCACCTCCCGTAGTGGCAGGGAGCGAAGATATGATTCGAAAAGTATTATTCAGTGAGATAAATTTAGAAGCAGAAAGATAGAGATTATGAGGGATTCAGAAGGTTAGAGTTTGAGAGAACACAAAGAGTGGATACACCTGCACCATTGCAAACGATCTTGAGCCATGTCATTCAAGGTCTCCAATCATTGGTGACTTTCATCTGGCGGATCCCAACCAAGTGGCCTACATTGACCGACATGACTCAATCCACTTGTTAGTAATTTCACAGATTTCTGCCATGTTTTGGTTTGGCCACCCCTAACTTTCCAACTTTCCAGCCTACACTACAAAACATAGCTCATCGATTAGCCAAAACACTAGGAATTCTGTGCAATCCAAAAACAATGCTCAAATAAACAGTCTTAAATTTATAACTTCCTATTTTGATCTGCCTTATGTTCTCGATCATTTATTTCAATCTACCATCTTACGTAAACTAATAATATTTGTCTGTGAAACAAAAAAAGAGGATACTAAGATGGACGTACTTAAAGTGGTTAAGCTAGAAGATTTTATCAGTCAGTCAGCTACAACGTAGAACTTCGTTCGTACGTACGTCAGTTCAAGTTGTTGTCACACCACACTAGCATGGAGAGTCGGAATTGTCATTTCAAACCCCATAGTAGTAGAGGTAGTATAGAAGTATTAGCGGTTATGGAGAAGATTAGGGTCCGAAGATATTATTCAAGAAGTATGAGCCAGTGAAATAGATTTGAGAAGAGAAAGATGAAGGTTATGAGCAAACTCATAAGACTAGAATTCAGGAGAACACAAAGAATGAATGTACCTGGGCCATTGCATACAACCTTGAGCCATGTTATTCAGAGTCGCTAACCATCGGTTACCATCATCTCGTGGATCCCAACTAGATGGTAGTCTACACCTACCAACACGAGCTAAACCCACTGAAGGAGTTTGAGTATTGATCAATCATAGAAAATGTAGATAAAGCATGCAATACTACTACTTACCAACTGCAGCATTTTTTAATCCACTAAATTTTTTCTTTTTCGGTTTACCATCCACATAGACTACTTGATATGGTTGACCATTTTGTCCTACAAAATATTGACCTTGATCTTGTGGATTTGGTTGATAAGCACCGCCACCACTGTAAGAACTTGTTCCAGGTACATAGGCACCGGCTGGTGGTGGCATTGGTGGTGGAACATAATTATTCGTTGGATATCCATAATTCGGTGGACCAACAGGTGGAGGAGGACCCGCGTAACCAGCTATAAAATTGATGGATATTTACCAATGCACTGATTGTGTAAAGGTTAAATGTGATCAATGTGTGTGATCAATAATAAGCAATCAATGGAAATCTAGAAACACTTTGGACGACGAGCAACAGTGAACAACTATAATCGCACAACTGAGAATTGAACACTTAATCTCTAGACTACAGTTAGGATTGAATAATCTGAAAGTCTAACTTCAATCAATCAACTATATTGTGCAACTACCTCCTACTAACTTCAGTGAGTAGCTTCTTCACACGTGCACAACTGAACTAACTCTATTGATCATAGCTTCTCATTAAGACTGTAGAAATTGCCACTTAAAGCTAGTTTACTAATGAGTGCATGATAATTATCATCTCAGTTGTGAATATCGTTGAATGTAAGTGATATAAACAATTGACTTCAATTAGACAATGAATAAACATCTAAAAAAAGCACTCTAAATAACTGTTTATTCCTAGTATGAAACTTTACAACTTTTCTATATCATTAAATTTCCAAAAACAAAGTTAACTTGAAATCGGTTTGTAATGTAAAAAGAAAAAATTAAATTCTATATTAAAATTAAGAAAAAATTTAAGAGAATGTCACTTACCAGGAACTCCACCATAAGCCGTTGGATCAGGCACTGACAGAATTTTTTTTCAAAAAAAAAAACAACAACGTGAAAACAAACAATTATCATAGTTTTATTTTATTAAAAAAGAAAATATACATCACTAATGGTTGGGACATGTGTTACGAATGCCTAACCACCGACTGCTTCGACGAGCTCTGTTTTGCGATGCAGGAATAGGTTGGACGAAAGCTAGGGGCGTCCAGACCAAAACATGGCACAAATCCATGAAATCATTGACAAGTGAAGGGAGTCATGTTGGTAGATGTAGGCTACCCGGTTGGAGTCCGCGAGATGATAACGATCGATGGTTAGAGACCCTGAATGACATGGCTCAAAACCGTTTGCAATGGCGCAGGTGCATTCACTCTTTGTGTTTTATGAAATTCTAACCTTCTGAATTACTCATCACCTCTATATTTCTCTTTCTAAATTTACCTCACTGAATTATACTTCTTGAATTAACATCTTTGAACCCTAATCTCTCCGATTACTTCTAATACTTTTACTACCTCTACTACTATGGGATTTGAATTGACAATTATATCTCTTGTGCTAACGTGGTTTGCCAACCTGAACTGATGTACTTACGTACGAAGTTCTACGTTGCTGTTGATGATGATGATGATGATACATCACTAATATTAGTATATCGACAGGGAGAAAGAAAATTCAATAAAATAACATGAACTATGCTTAACAAGCTTATTTTATTCAAATTAAGTTAGTTAGATGAAAAGTGAATTGTTATTGTTGTCACATATGAATTGATTCAAATTCACTTGATGAAAAGACCTACATAAAACATTACAAAAAGGACGTTGTAGATTTTTTTTGGTTACATCTGTTTGATATGTGTATATGGATGTAGACAGTCTCTAAATTCCATGGTATGGTCGAGTGAGAAGAGTTCACTCTCTCTTGCCAAATTGTATTCACATAGGTACTGTCAGAGAAGTCCAATGAATAACATCGTGTCACAGTATGAAAGAATGTTATACAGGACTGGTATCGGTTGGTTGTTCACAAAGCTCGGGTTAGAATGTAGTATGTAACTTAGTGGCTTGAGACGTTATCAGACATGGTTCAGAATAAAAACCGATTTGCGGTACTGCTGTAATTTTCTTTTGTTTACTTCACCTAAGTAAAATGGATTTCTTCAACGGAAATGATTCGTTCTGATTGTATTTTCTTGAATTAAACTGTTTCACACACTATTATTACTGCTACTAATATTTCACACTTGTTCACTCATTTCTATTGAAATAAAATAACAGAAGTCTTATTCACTGACTTCTAGTGGATCGATAACATAGATATATACAATGTCATAAAATCAACAACGTATGACTAACAAATCTAAACGAGCACATGAGAATTTCTTGTTAAACTTTGACGACTACATGACCTAGAGATGATGAGGGAAACAAATCAAATATTATATGTCAGTGACATTGAAACCAGTTAAGCGCTTTGCTTCGAATACAATATAACGATGGCAGAATGAAATGACAATGGATTTTTGTATTTGAATTCAGTCAATGCAGTCAAAGCCCAATCTTTCAAGGTGTCTTTGAAATATGACACTAATCTGGTCTTTCTGAAATAGTAGGATAATCTTCAGATTATTCAATTGTCTTATTTTGTTTAAACATATCTTTATTGATACTAAAATGTATCTCAATATTTAGGCGCCACATAAATCGCTGAATTTTTTTTGAATGGGATAACTGGGATAACGTCTGGTTGCACGAACTGAAACAAGTGATTTCATGAGGCAACTGCCCAAAACGTTGTTATACAGGTCTAATCTACAAGACAATGGAGCAAAGTCAGGAGATGCAGTTCTATGGTAGCTGGTGACCAATAACAAGTTCATGCGCTATTTGTTCTATGAGGATCCTGAATCCCATCTTCACTATGGATTTGGAATCAGTGCTTTCCAACTCCGCTAGATGGGTTCCCTATGCTCACCAACCCGGTTTAAGTCCTAGTCAGACATTCATTTTTCGTCCTCTCAATTTCGTGGACGACACTTCCACTATATGAAGTCAGTGGGTAGAATTTCGCTTACAGTAGCTACAACCGCGTGGTCATATGAGAACATTTTGAAAGGAGACTTTACTCACTCTCGGTCGTACCAGGGCGTTATCCAAAGTATGCAAACACTATTGAATAGACATTTCGTCATCACTTCTAATGATTCTGAACTACCCTATTCAAATATCCCAACCAAACCATACAATATTTATAGAGTTCTTCTTGGTTAATATATTTTTACAAAATTAAACATATTAATACGAAAAGAAAGTTGAATTTTTATTTTGAGAACAAACATCATCAAACTATCAATATTAAGCTTACTTGCAAAACCGATCGCTCCTGCAGGTGGTACCGATGGAGTTTGATATGGTGGAGGTGCAACTGGTGGTACTGAACTTGGTTTAAACTAAAACAGAATTGTATTTTGTTATACAACAGGCATGAATATATGCTATGCAATATATATATATATATATATATATATATATATATATATATATATATATATATATATTAAAAAATGTCAACTCTTGTCCGTGACGTATAACTTTCGTCTCATATAGAAAGGAGTTATTCGAATTTCGACATACATTTGACTAATAGTTCAGTTTGTCAATAAACTGGAACTGGATTAAGATTTTATTAACCCTTCCAATGAAGTCGCTTGGAATCAATTACAATTGTTTCAGTACATTCACGCTTTGCTCCTCTTTAAATTAAGCCGCCCTAGCCCTGCATTGATTCGGCGACGAGTAGGGAGAGTTTACTCTCTTTCTTTCAGGATGCTTCCACATATGACCACATGTATATAGTCACTGCCAGGGAAGTCCTACTCACTATTTTCTCGTAACAATGGTGTTTTTTACGAAACTCAGAGGAAGCTTTATCTGGACAGGTGGGTACGGAGGATCAACCCAGGGGAGTGGAAAACTATGATTACAGACAAACAATGCACTTGGGCTCAATGATCCTGGAAGAAAAAATGGCATAAGAACCTGTAGATAGTCCTCAGCTTCCATGGGATCGCATTTCCTAACGCTGCTCCACTGTCTTGTGAACTACTACTATACTAAAATTGTTGATTGGAGAACAGTTGTATTAAAACCAGCAAACTGACTGTCCAAGGGCAAAGTGGTACTGTTGACAAATATATAAGTGTGACAGCAGTAAAGTGTTTTCCTTAAATAATCAGCATCTATTGTGACACCGCTGTCTTCTTACGACGGTTTCCATCACCGAAAGTAAAGTTTTTCGAATTAAGGAGCTCATTTTCAAAAAATCAGGTGTTTGGATATTTCCAAGCGGTTGCCCCTTGAACCCTGCAGTTACACTTTCAGATAATCAAGACCACAAATAACCCAGTTTTCTATTGATAACTTTTATGTCAGTCAATCAGCTACAACGCAGAATTTGGTACGCACGCACATCAGTTTAAGTTGCCACACCACATTAGCACAGAAATGTAATTGTAAATGCAAATCGCATAGTAGTAGAGGGAGTAGAAGTATTAGCGGTGTTCAAAATGCTTAGCGATCGAAGATACTGTTAGAGAAGTACAACCCAGAAGAATTAATTTAAATGAGAAAAAAGTCATGAGGAATCCGGAAAATTAGAACTTGAGAGAAGACAAAGAATCAATGCATCTGCATCATTTTAAACGATTTTGAGCCGTATCATTCAAAGTCTCTAACCATCGGTTGCGATGGTCTTACAGACTCCAACCAGGTAGTCTACATCTACTAACATGGCTCAGTCCACTTGTCAGTGACTTCGTGAATTTGTGCCATGTTTTGGTTTGGCCGTTCCTTTAACCTTCGTTCAGTTTATCCCTACATCTTTTGAGAGTAGACATTCTTCGATTGTATGAGCAAACGGCAGACAAAAACCACTCTAATACCTCTGACGGCACTCGAAATGCTCTTGTCCAAAATCACTTCTTATGATTAGATTTATCACCACTATTAACCCTCAATCGTATGATAATAATTTTATCTCACGTGACAGAAATAAACAAAAACTAGTTGAATAAACGAACTACAGATTTGAGTAGGGATTTTAACTGTTGCGTAATGATGACGATCGGTCAAAACTATTGGTGAGTACAGAAAATGCATATCTAAAATTTTAAACCGAAAAATAACACAATCTAAATTTAATTGTTTAACAGAGATTATGAGTAATGCACTAGAAAAAACTAACAAAATATTTTCATAATTTTTGAAAATAAATGCAACCTGATCACTGGGTATTTTAATTGTTAACTCATTTATAGAATATAAGTTCGTGTACTTGAGATATGCAGCCACATCCATGAGTGGGGAAGTTAATGATACTTACTACCAGGCTGCCTAAACCAAAACAGATAACTGATCGGGTTTCAAACCTGTGATGTAGTGAGAGGAAAGTGCATAGGATCAAAACCACTAGGTAATTGCTTCACTATCCATCAATTACAGGTTTACTTAGCAGCTAATGACACTATCCAACTGTTTAAATCAAATAAGATAAAGCAAATGGTCAGTCGGAGTCAACTTTAGAGTGCTTCAACTTGCAAGCTATTAGCTAAAAGCAGGGTGCTTCGTGTTATGGTCAAAAAGGAAAACAACAGGGTTAAAACAAAAAAGGAACAAAATAATTTTTATTAAATAGGGCTAAAATACTTAAACATTCAAAAGAGATCAATTAAATTGAATAATTGATTAAGAGTATGATATAATATTCAAGCTGTGAACTTATATGTATTAAGTGTTTATTTACTTATTGGGTTAATAGCAATCAACTTTGAATCATGTCATCACCATCTACGGTTCTTCAACACAAATTGTAAATCAGGTATTTTACTGGTTCATCAGTCCGTGGTCACTGTCATGTTTGTAAAGTCTCAAGTGCTACTGAACGAATGATGTCGACTAAGTTACATTGTTCTCACTATTGTCTAAACAACTCAACATTATGTTCCAGCATCAAATAGTTGAAGGTTCGAACCGATCAGGTAACATTACTCTTCCAACGATTATAGGCAAGTTTTGCTAATAATGTGTGCTAGCCAACTTGAAACTCAAATCTAATGGGTTTTCAACTAACTAAAAACAAATATGAATTTTTTAAAAGTAACAATATCAAAATATTGAAATATTACTCACTAATGACATAACCGCATCTGTCCATGATCTAATAAATATGAAGGAAAGATGACAAAATGAACGAAATCACACTTTATTCGATTGAAAAAGCGCGAATTTGGACTTTAGATACAGAAGAAAAATCTTGATTATTATTTGCGATAGATAAAAAATTACTTACGCCTGTTACCCCCAATGGAGCATAGGCCGCTTACCAGTTCTCTCTAACCTACTCTGCCCTGAGCCTCCCTTTCTAGTTCTGTCCAATTTTCATTCATTCTTCTATTATCTATCTCTATTTCTCGGCGTAATTGGTTCCTTGGCCTTCGTCTTTTCCTTTGACCTTGAGGGTTTCAAGAGAGGGCTTGTCTTGTGGCGCTGTTGTAGGCTTTTCGCAATGCGTCCTATCCATTTCCAGCGCTTCTTCCTGATTTCCTGTTCCGCTGGAATCTGGTTTGTTCTGTCCAATTGTAGGTTGTTGCTGATGGTGTCTGGTGTCTTAAATCTTTCTCGTGGACAACTGTTAATAAACACTTGTATCTTCTGGATGATGGCTTTCGTGGTTCTCCAAGTTTCCGCCCCATACAGTAGAACTGTCTTGACACTTGTATTGAAAATTCTGACTTTGGTGTTGGTTGATAGTTGTGTTGAGTTTCATACGTTCTTTAGCTACAGAAACGCCTCCCTTGATTTGTCAAGTCCGTGACCTCACATCTCCATCATATCCAACTTACTCATCACTGATGCTGCCAAGATATGTAAAGTTTCCATATCGTACAAAGCCTCTATGTCAAGTGTGATTTGGTTGGTGCATGTTGTGTTTTGTCGGAGAATCTTGCTTTTCCATTGTGTATGTTGCGACCTAATGCTGCTGAGGCTGCTGCCACACTGATCGTCTTCTCTTGTATTTCTTGTTGAATATGCAATAGAAGAACCAGATCATCTGCAAAGTCTAGGTCGTCCAGATACGTTCCAGCTGTTCCCTGTATATCGTGCTTCCCCCCTATTTTGACGTCTTAATGATTCAGTCGATCACCAGAAGAAAGAGAAAGGATGAGAATAAGCAACCTTCGAACGAATCTGTCAGCTGTCTTCGATAGATAAAAAAGGAAATGATCTAATCAAACGCTATGATGCATAAACATCTTTACTACAAGGACTATTTTGTTTACGAAGCAATGATATAGACAGGTAGAAAATATATTGTAACCATTGTGAGAAATCGAAAATAGTTTAAGATACCATTAAAATCTATGACGGTAATGAGCAGTTGGTAAATTCTAGTACGAGCAACTTCTCAAAAGTGATGGCTACTTTACTACTGAAATAGGAGCTAAACTAATGATGGCTTCTCATTACACACAAACACTACACCCATACTCTAAACAAACTCGCTTTATGTTTGACTAGATAACTGACGTGTAATCTGTTTCATTAATTCGCTCTTAGTAAAGATCGATTGTAGCCCAAGTAGTACTTGGCTTCTAGATTTTTTGGTTGGAAATAAATTTAACCATACTATGGGAATTAGTCCAAATAAATAAGAATTTACAATGTCGGTTAAATGTAAGTCAGTAGAACGGTAACTGAATAACACTATCACTGTGCAAAAAACTTGTGAACAAACTTGAGTAATATACCCTTTGGGTTATTCAGAGAAAGTTTTTTTTTAAACAAGAATAACGATCCAACTTTTGCAACAGTTTGTTTTATAACAAATATACTAGACATCAACTAAGTGTATATCCAAAAAGGTTGGTACGGTTATCGTAGTTTGCTTTCAAATCGTCTCCAAAACACTCTGGTATAGTGGAGAATGAGGATAGTCTGCTCTGCTTTTACAAGGTAACGTGTTTATAGTCACCACCAGGGAAGTCTTACTCACTGTCTTCTCCTATCAATGGTGTTGTTTACAAAACTAAAAGGATAAAAAGCGAGTATCCGGCCAGGACATTGACCAGGCTAGTGTATAATAAAGATCCACGTAATGTAATTGAAAACACCTGACTTCAAATCAACAGTATACATGGGCCTCGCCATCCTGAGAACAAAATGGCGTATAAACCTACTGTTGGTCACCGGCTACTATAAGACTGCACATCCTAACGTTGGACCACTGTTGTGTGGATTAGACATGTAGATCAAAGACTTGAGGAATAGCCATCTAAGAAAATATTCAGAGCATAACCTTAATAAGCTAAAGCTCTAAAATAAGGATTGAACTTTTTTAAATTTGGGTGTCTACATTGTCGTCCGGTAGGTTTTGTAATATTTTGGTTGTTTAATTAGTGTCGTAGTTGAGGCTTATAACGACTCCGGGTAGTTTTGTTTAACTGTCATGTTGAACAAAATTTAAAACACGGAGATGGAAAATTTTTTGTTAAAGCGTTGAAAGCATACTTTAATGTTGCCTGATCTGGGCAGACGAACCAAGCCATTTCAGTTCCCACACGAGGTTCGAAGGGGATTCCAAAAGATAAAGGAATTTCTGTAGCTGTTAGTGCAGTTGGCTTGCATGGAACACGATGAATAACTTCTCCAAACGCTAGGAACGCTGCTACACGCTAAACGGGGAAAGTTAGACAATAATGACAACAAACTCTAATGTCAACACTTCGCTTGGGCGAAACGGATTGAGAATCGTCAAACCACTGAAACCAACCACTAGATAACAGCTTGCAGTAAACGTTGTGCCAATTTTTACGATCTGAAATAAAAAATGATCTAGAAAATGCTCATACCGGACCACTTTTTCAGATAACCTTCTTTGATGGACATTGAAAAGTTTAGTGAATCAGATAATTAGGCTGATGTTTTTCTCGAAAATATCGGTGGGCGGCCAGTTGTGGTCCAGGAGTTTAGCGATAAACACAACAGAAGAGAACTTCAAGGCTGAAAATAAAAACATGTGATAAATTCTATAGTGCGATTTTCCCTGTCAAGCAGGGCTGGTAAAATGTTGATGATGTTAACGTTTGATATGATGGGAGTAATTTTTTGGAGATAAAGTTTTATCTTCAGCTGGTAATTTGAGTAAAATATTACAACGGTAAGATGGAAACGTTGTGAGAAATATGATGAATTATTATGTTTCTGTCATTAGTTTTCAAGCGAATCAAGACAAGATTTAGTTTCTAAATTTATGTACTTTTATAGATATTTCTCTATGGAATTAATCTAGAGGACAACATAACAAGTGAAGCTCTTTATATGAAATATTTATAGACATTTAAAATATTAGATAGTTTAAGCCACATAGATCAACGTTACAGGGTCACAATGAAAAATTTGTAAACTGTAATAAACAATATGCAATCTGCTTCAAAGCCTAGTGAGTGTCTACGAAACGTAGTTGACAGGAGATATATCAGATATGAGACAATATCTACATAGTTTTTAGATGTTTCATGATGACAGATCTAACGCTGTTACAGGGGTCAACATATACGTGTATTTGTCCCCTAGGGTACATAAAGTTTCCTCTCTCAGCATAAACATTACTAATTAAAGCCAGTGTAGCATAAAGAGTAGTCGAGGGTTGTCCGAGTAACGTTTTCTATAAACGTCCTGGGTCCTTTATAACTTTGAACTGTTCATTTTTACAGACTATTAGAGGAGCTCTTGAGAACGGGAATCCACTAGCTTGTACCGGTGGGCGACTTCAATATTCTTAGTTACTTTAGTCTGAAAATAATTCCTAACCAGCAAATGACTTTAGGAGCTTAAAGTCTTATATTTGAGGGATGGCATCTGGCACTAATGACGTATCGATACCAGGCAAGACAGCTGTCTTTTCTCTTAACCCCAGGAACTCAAGAAGTCACAAATTGCCTTTTTATAATCTGCTTTTAGAGACCGGATAGCCTAGCCTATTTGAATTTAGCTAAATATATTAATAAGTTATGCTTATGGTAGTATCTACAATTTTGGTATTAGGCCATTTTTGATTATTCACTTTGACTTGAGATTAATTTTAGCCTGTTAAACTACAAACTATGTTTGAGACACCTTATGGTATACAGAAAGCTAAGCAGGATTCGACCTAGGAGCTAGCATAATAGCGGGAGTAAATTTTGTGACAATATTTGGTCGGTGAAAAAACCAATGGACATCATCTACGTAAAACTAAATCGTCCGCCAGGTAGAAAATAATACGGAATTGGAGTCATGCATCATAAGAGTGAGTCGTTGATTTGGGTTAAATATGCCTCATATTACGTTACTAAATCTAAAGTAGGCATCCAGGTAACCGTCACTTGAAATCTAAATAGCACAATATAGGATGCATGATGATTTTTAAAGACCTCTAAGTATAGTTGATATACAACGAGGATACAACTGGACACCTAAAAGCTGAAAACGGCATGTTACTAAAACCTGTGTTTCAGATCGACTACGATGAGCTTTGAGTAAAATGATTTGCAATGCTCGATTAAAATCCTACGAAGCTGAGTACACAGTAATCATTACTGATAATGGGATAGAATGAAATTACACACAAATGACTAACTGTACATTATTCAAGTAACTGACCTTGTCAGGTCAAAACTGCCACTTTTGTCGATATCCAATATCTTCTCCATGAGCTAATATAAACAAATTGATTTAATTCACTTCGATTCTTCTTCTTTATCCTCGGTTTCAGGTGCTCTGTAGTATCTAGTGGATTAGGGTCTAACCACTAGACTGCCTAATTCTAGTCAGTTGTTTGTTACTCTGTCCCGTAATTTAAATGAATACGTTTGTTTCAGTGTTTCTGGATAACAGCAGCTATCACATTACCAGGCCGGAGATCATTCAGTTGAAGTTTGGAAAATAATACTGAGAAAATTTTGACGTTAACAAAAGTAAGATTTCAGGACACAGTGAATAAGTGGACAATTTAGTTTATTATTTGTGGTGAAGATTGTGCGAGAGAACCGAAGTGATAGCAAGGGAGAGGAAACAGAAATTGCAAACGAGATTCACTAAGTTGATGATATGAGATGTTTTTCATGTTCTTCTGGTACGTTGTTAGGAACTTATTAGTATTCGATGGGTGGTAGTCTAGCTACTTAACTGCACTAATTCTCTTCCGTTGTTAGTTATTTATGAATTGATACAACCTGTGATTTCAGTGGTTTTTCCCAGGATAGAATGGTTACTGGATAACAGTAGCTATCACGTTATCAGGCTAAAGATTATTTGCATTATATGCATAATGAAATGAGAATGCTTATGCTAAGAATGAGACGAATGTTTCAAAATCTAATATAGATTACTTACTTTGTAGTACATATAGTGGGAGAGGAGTGTAAGGAGTGTAATTATGATAACAGCTAGGGTAAAATGAGTTAGCGATATGAATTTTTACCAATAGGTTATTCTAGCCTCATCCAGGTCACAGACAACCAACGCAGACTAGTAGATTGAATGTCATGAACAGGCACATACGATTGTGTTTCATCTCGTACTTCTTTCCTCTATAAAAACTAATATTTGTTATTGTAAATTGGGAGAATTTACTCTGGAAAGTGAGTAAAAAGGATAAATACTCTCAAGAGACAACCGTATGTACTACCATTAACAACTATCCTTGACGAGATTCTTCAAACTGTTTGAATTTAATTGACTGGGTTGTCGGATGGCGTGACTAGGACCACATGGTATTAGTCATACGCAACAAACAAGTTTCGAAACATGCATCAGACACAGTTGCTCCAAGTGGAAGACAATAGTGCGTAAGCTAAGATGTTTTTTTCCAGTTTTATGGTTATACGATGAGAGAACTGTGGTTACTTCAGCTATAAGAGAATTACAGCTTACCCGATTGTTTATTCCTTTATGTGAAAATTTTCTGGAGTTAATTCCTGGAACGTGTCGGTGATGCACTGGTTGGGTGCATACGTCAGGGTGACTTCTTCCATGAAGTTCGTAATCTGTTAGTGTCACGTGAGACAGAATGTTCATGACAACATTTCGACTGGTTGAGTTTTACACTGCTGTATACTGCCCATTCTGCCATAGTTATAGAGTCCTTTCGAAGTTCTGATGAATTCGCTTTACCACCTACGGACCTCCAGACCTTCACGTCATCTGAATAGATTAGTGCCGTCGACCTTATTCTATCAGTTAGAGTAATATACCCCAGATAATGAGCAGTGAAACTACTTGCAGTAAACAATTTAATAAACGTTATCTTATTGATCATCAAGCGATTTTTCTTCTTTATATAGTACCTATATCACCATTGATAGACTCTAGACGAGTCAAGCTGATTACTGCGGAATTCAAAATGATTTCAAACAAGAACAAAGGTTTATCGTACATATGTTTTTAACACTAGGGAATCGGTTGTTGTTACGAGGTTAAATGTTTTCAGAACTATTTGTAGCATCTGAAATTTTTTTAACGCACTAAGATAAACCAACTGACTTCTTTGAGCTCGCTTCTTGTTGTTTCGCTGTTGTGTCAGGTATCCATAGTGTACAATAGTTGGTGTCTAATATCTTAAATACTGGTAACATTTAAACAGCTGATTTCCTATTGTTGATTTCGTGAGGTTTGTTTGCACTTTCAGGGTCGTTTTGAGCATTCTATAAACTCCTTCTTAATAATGCTAAAGAACTAAACAGATTTCTTGAGGTTAACATATCTTTGGAATTAGCAAAGGCCTTCGTTCTTGGATAATAGGGCTGCTGATCAAAGTAGCTGTCATGTTGCATGGAAATCGTTAGTCTGGTTTTGACATGTGGGATTTCCGAGTTAGAGTAGAACGAGTCTGAAAGGTCATCATGACCAAAAAAGTAAATTAATTTGTGAACTGACTGAATAACAACATAATAGGACCAAGGAGTATATAAAGTTATAATTACTCTCGCAGTTCGCTCCAACTCGAAGAGTGAAACGTTTATACGCGTCTCACCCAGTCCAGGAACAAAAACGATAATTCTGGGAGAAAACGGTTCTATTTATATTGAAAAGGAAAATACAGACAATTACCAAAACGATATTACACCTTCGAGTTTCCAATAACCACAATGGGCTCCGTTTCTGGGGGAATAATTGCTTCCAGTCCGTTACTGATAGAGTATCAAATCGAAAAAAGGCTGTAGCCATAATAAATATCAAATTTAAACAACATATGTACAGTTCAGAAGGAAACATAAAAACTTCAATGTAAGTACAAGATATAGAAATAATGACGAGATAAAAATGATAAAATCTCAAAATGGAATCAAATAGAGTACCAAAATATCAAACAGAAGAGTCAGTCATATCATAACACATATATATATACATGGAGGGATTTTGCAAAAACAAAACCTTCAAAATAGATTCTACAGAGTAAGCTATTGTAAACCAATTTGATTTCTTCGCGCTCGATTCTTGTTCTTTCGGAACGGTTCCAGGTGTTCGGTAATGTCCAATGGATGGAGGTCTAGTCACTTGGCTGCCTAATTCTAGTCAGTTGGCAGCTTACTGTGAGTTTGCATGTCTCGGGATTTGAATCAAACGTTTGTTTCAGGGCAGTAGGGTTTCTGAATACTAGTAACCGTCACATTACCAAACTGGAGATCAGTTAGTTGCAATGTGGAGAGTAATAAGGGTTATAAGGATAAAATTAAAATGATAATATGAATAAAATTTCAGAACTGAGTAATATATAGATGAATTTAGTTTGTTAATTGGTAGTGAGGATTGTAAGAGAGGACCGAAGTGTAAGCAAGGGAGAGGAAACAGAGATAATAGGCGAGATAGATATGGAAGTGATCTGAGGAGATGGCAGGTCTCAATAT